TGTTCTAAATTGACATTTTATTGCAGCATTCACCATGTTCGTCGGCATTACCTTCCCTTTCTTCAGTGGTCTCCTTGGATTCTTTGGAGGATTTGCTTTCGCCCCAACAACTTATTTTGTAAGTCCGCAGTTTTTCTCCACATCTGATCCAAAACATAGCGTAACGTTACTTGTACATTTTGATTTAATCTTGTTATAACTATCTGCAGCTCCCTTGCATAATGTGGCTTGCCATCTACAAGCCAAGGAAGTTCAGCTTGTCTTGGTGGTGCAACTATGTACGTTCATTTGTACTCATGCTTCGTTGTTCATAAGTTTTCGTTTCCTTTTAATTATATATTAGTTAACCTAATAATTATTTTACTTAATCATTTTCAGATCTGCATCTTTTTTGGTGTTCTTTTGATGGTTCTATCACCTATCGGAGGATTGAGATCGATCATCATTCAAGCCAAGACCTACAAATTTTACTCATAAGTCCTTCGCCACCCTATCCGAAAAAGGATACTAGGTTGCTGCAAGATGCATCTCAGAAACGCAAAAAAGAAAATGAAGCCGTTGATGATGATGATGGAGAGTTAATTTAATTAGGACTGTGTGCCTCGAGGGTCCTGCAATAATCGAAGATCTGAAATAAATTGGAAACACAGATTGGTTTCATGGGGAAGAATTCAAACCATATCACCAATTGAAGGAACTTCAAAGGATTCTTCTTCTATTTCATTTTCTCAGTTTGTGGTTGTGGATATGTGCATGTATTTATATGTATCATCTCAATTTCTTTTGCTTTTGTGTTTGTTTTTCTGCATTTTTAATTGATCTATCTAGTAAAGATTGATCAAATCCTAAAATACATGAGAACAAATCTAGTCTTTTGTGTAATCAGTGCTCTTGATAGGGCTTAGGAAGAGAGTATTTGGAACTATATTTTCTCTTTATGTAGCTTGGTGTTGATTTAATCTCTTTGGTGTGCAACATTTTCACATATATTTATCAATGACGGTTTGAAACCTTTAATGGTTGTGTTATGGTGTTATAATGTGACGTGTGCCCAAATACTGGCAATGGGGATGCTTCATTGAGTTGTCCAAAACTCTGTTTCATATTAAAAAGCACATAAATCACCATTTTGAAGAAGAAGAAAATAAGTGTTTGAATCCAACTATTATTACACCCGACTAAGGTACACTCCAAAATTTGAATTCAGTTGACACAATAAGCCCAGCTTGACCTTTGTAACTTTTCTTTGGAGACATCATCATTCCACAAGTGGCAGTTAGGTTGATTATATTTATGTACGGAACTAAAGAAAATGAGAAACAGGTCAATTTCCTCTTAACATGCACATTCTAATTTCTCGTTGTCTTATCAGTAAAGGAGAATAACTTACATGAAATGATGATATCAACTTACAAGCAGACGAACAGTGCCATGAGTCATGATTCCCCAAAACATCTTGAGAATTTGCCTTCCGGACTCATGGAAACTCTTATTTCCCTGTAACTTTGTATTTTGTGTTGTTTTTTCAGTTGACTAATTGTATCACTTTGCTTTTTTTTATGGTAACTTTTTCTAATGTCGAAAATAGTTGCATTATATCATCCATCTTCTTGATATGTTGTCAACCTTGTCTTACCGTACTGATACTAAATAGTCAAAATAATCTTAATATGATATGATTAAAGTATCTATTTGCTTCTCACCCTGTAAGAAAAATAACTTGCAACTCTAAAACGTCATAGTGGCATCCTAAATCAATAACACGACATTATTTATTTTAAATTTCTTACATATCGTCTTATGATAACGTTAGAACACTATCATTTAACGTGTCTTTGTTTCATGTAAGTCTATCTTTTCGATTTGATACAATAATACTACGTTGATTAGATGCCACATACAACCGAATAAGCGAAATAAGTGCAAGTCATAAACTGACTTGTGCTACAACTAACGTACACTTGCAAGTTGCAACAAAATAGAGGACTACTGTATGTCCCAGGATTCCTGTATCCCGCTACTCTTCCCTACAAGCACCTAATTAACCAACTATCATTTTCCAAAAAAATAGCCGACCAATCAAACAGAGTCGACTCAAGATAAGAACTCTCTTTTTTTTTTTTTTTTTTTTTTTATACAAAAGATAATATAATCGACACTAAATACATTTGAAATATGGAGATAGATTTCAAGATAAAACATGAAATTCAAGTCTTATTTCACTCAAAAAAAAAAAAAAACTTAGTTAAATAACAAACTAAATACATAGTTTGCAATTAATATAAATATGTAACGTAACCTGCATAAACTTGTCAATAATGCAGAAAGAAGGATTAATATGTTCATAATATCAGTATAAGGAGGTTATTTTCTTTTCCCCACCAACATTAGACAAACATAAGCATACAACAACAATCAAGTCTTGTCCTATTAAGTGGGGTTTGTTGTATAAATCTAAAACGTCACTGCTCTCAATTTTACGCAAAGTCTTCATTAGCTACAAATACTTCATATCTAAAGTAGGAGAGGTGAGGTTTATGTTTGTTAAGCGGAGTGGAAATGCCGCTGCTCATGTTATAACCTCATATGTTACCTCACATGGAGGTGATTTTCGATGGGATGTTTTTGGTCTAGAGTTTTTGTTTAACATTTTTGCTAAAGATGTAAACATTTCAATTAAACTTTAATTTTAAAATTATCCTTTGACAAAAAAAAAAAAAAACATATTTCTTAGACGAAAACTAACAAACAAAAATATCAATTTCAATGAGCTCGAACTCTTGTGGGCGGATTTTTCTGGATCTTCACATTCTTGTCACCTCCGATAAATAATAAGTTTCATCTTCTCATTTATATATGTTTATTTTACATTCTCTATTTCATGCAAGACTTGAAGCCAAAGCTTTAGCTACTACTCTCTGTAACTACCAATGGGAGATACAACCGACCAAAGTTCTTCCATCCAAAGCAATGTAACTCTCTCTCTCTCTCTCTCTCTCTCTCTCTCTTCATAGCTACACAGCCGCGCACACGCCTATGCATGAAAGAAGTTTGAGATTTCACCTCAAAACTTGTTAGCAATATGTGGAGTAGCTCAATGCTATATAAACTTGTGCAACGTTTCTTAACTTTCCTGAGCGAAAAAACTCCTCGTATTGCTAACTGGTTTACCTAACCGATAGGAACGTGCTCGTTGGTTTTCAACATTTGACTAGATTTCGCTTCATTTGGATTATTTTCTGCTTGTGACTTACTTTTTCTAAGAACTTGAGGAATTGTCCACTGAATCGCAGGTGGACGAGAAAATGAACAACCAATCACAGATTATTGATGATGAAAAACTACAGAGGCAAAAGGAAATAGATGCGTGGCTTCCAATCACTGGTTCAAGGAACGCAAAATGGTGGTACTCAGCTTTCCACAATGTCACCTCCATGGTTGGAGCCGGCGTCAAAGTCTCCCCTTTGCCATGTCCAATCTCGGATGGTACGTTAACTTTTCTCACTCCTCTTTTAGTATAGTGAACTTTGTACTGAATACTATATAATTTTATCTACGCTCGCAGAAGGACTGCAAGAAGCTAAAATATGAGTTCTAAAATCATTGGCCTTGCTTTGTTAATGATATTTCAAACTAGTATGGTGAATTTTGAGAATACACACTGCCGCGGCTAGATGGCCTAGCTGACGGATAATTTTTAATTGCTTGTTTAACTTTCAGGGGTCCTGGTTGTGTGATTCTTGTACTATCTTGGGTGATCACTCTATTCACTTTATGGCAAATGGTTGAGATGCATGAGATGGTTCCTGGAAAGAGGTTTGATAGGTACCATGAGCTAGGGCAACATGCCTTTGGTGAAAAGCTAGGGCTTTGGATTATGGTGCCCCAACAGCTCATATGTGAAGTTGGTGTGGACATTGTGTATATGGTCACCGGTGGAAAATCGCTGCAGAAAGTTTACAAGACAGTGAGGAAAGACAAGGATCCGATCAAACTCACCTATTTCATCATGATCTTAGCCTCCGCTCACTTTGTCCTCGCCCATCTCCCCAACTTCTACTCCATCTCTGGCGTCTCGTTAGCCCGCAGCAGGTCATGTCATTAAGGTACATTTCATCTATTTTTTTTGTCAAATAGTATCCATGGGCATGTGTGACGCCTTGGAATGCAAATCATTATTCTCAAACTGTTGTTTGATTATGATTCAGTTATTCAACTACTGCATGGACGGCTTCCATCCACAAAGTTGTTCAGCCGGATGTAGCATACGGTTATAAATCTGGTAGCACGCCTGGAACAGGTCTTTAACTTCTTCACTGCCTTGGGGGACGTAGCTTTTGCCTATGCAGGCCACGATGTGGTCTTGGAGATCTAAGCAACAATCCCTTCGACACCCAAAAAGCCATCAAAGAAGCCTATGTGGAGAGGAGTAGTGTTGGCCTACATCGTCGTGGTATTGTGCTATTTTCCGGTGGCTCTCATCGGATATTACACTTTTGGGAACAGTGGAGGACAACATCTTCATCTCGTTGGAGAAGCCTGAATGGCTCATCATTACAGCAAACCTGTTCGTTGTCGTCCATGTCATTGGCAGTTATCAGGTAAACTTGTACTAGAAAGTAGAAGAAGATTCGGTCTTGCTAAATTTTCAATTGGATTTTAATCAAAACTTTTTGGTTTTGCTCTGGCCTTTCCTAATTACAATGCAGCTATTTGCAATGCCAGTATTTGACATGGTAGAAACCTTGTTTGTGAAGAAACTACACTTCAGACCTACCCTAATTCTTCGCTTCGTTTCCCAGAATATCTATGTCGGTAAGTAGTTCAGCTCCTCATCCAGTAGCGTGACAGCAATCACTCGACCCTTTTCTCCCTATACACACCCCTTTTTATTGATTTATGTTCTTTAGATTGAATAAATCAAAGAAGAATTAAGGAAAAAAGACATACCTGACGTGCAGAAGGGGGAAATGGGTGTTTCATATATCGTTTCCGGAAGAATTAAATTTAAAATGATTTGATCATGTGTGATTGATTTCAGCCTTCACAATGTTCGTCGCCATTACTTTCCCTTTCTTCGGTGGTCTTCTATGATTCTTTGGAGGATTTGCTTTTTCCCCGACTACATATTTTGTAAGCCCTCAAATCTCTTTCTGTTCATCAAATTTAAGTTCTACTTTTCCTTGTCCGAGCGATATTTTAGTCTAATCTAAACTATTGATTCACCTGATTCATGGTCTCCATTTGGTTTCATTCTTCAGCTCCCTTGCATTATGTGACTTGCCATCAAGAAACCGCGCAAGTTTAGCCTATCTTGGATTATTAACTGGGTACGTACGTTTGTTCATATTCTGTTGTTACTGTTTCCTGCACTTTGCTAATAACAAAACCCTTCCCAAAACCATCGTCATTTCTAAATCAGCTTTCCTTAATTGCAGATTTGCATTACGCTCGACGTCATGCTGATGATTCTATCACCTATTGGAGGGTTGAGGAGTATCATAGTTCAAGCCAGTACCTACAAATTCTACGACTGATTAACAAACTTGGCACAAACATAAGCACTTTGCCCTGAACTTCAATGCAGGTAGATATGGACAGACAAGCATATGTTACGAATAAGTACCATGATTGAACACTTACGGTTAGTGTTTATAACGAAGTGCCAATGGAGTTAACCAGAAGAAAACTTATGTAACACGACTGTGTATTTTTGCATTGTATGTTAGTATTATTGAAATATACTAAATCCGCATCTCTCTGAGAAAAGAAAAGTTTAAATATCTCAACCTCACTTCAACTAACACCGAGATCTTTTGTGATAAAACCTTATATCTTTTGAATGTGGTAATTAATAAGTTATAAATCGATTTTGTTGAAAGTTGACATTTAGCCCCTCTCTCTCTCTCTGATACCTTGATTCATTTATATTCAACATCAATGAAATAGGGTTCTAATTTTTGTGGATTGCGTACCGCATTAAATATGCATGCTTAATCAATGCGTGTTGGTATTGAAGATTGAAAACAATTTTGTGCTGAAAAGAACAAGCTATATGTTTACCTATAAAAAAAAAAATAAAAAAAAAACAAGCTATATGTACAAACAGTCAAAGTCGTCGCAGGAAACTAGAATTATATATAGAGTTAATTGTACATATAGCCCTTAAACTATTACTCAACTTTAATTTTGGGACAAGGATTGTCTGCCTCTCACTTTTCGTGTCCTTTCGTGCTCTCTTGTTTGTGTGATCACGGTTAATCCACGTCAACATTTTATATTACTATTCATTTTTGTCTTATTATCTTTATAAAATTATTAAAAAATATTAACGTAACTTAATCATGATTACACAAAATAAGAAGACACGAAATGACAGACAATCCTTGACCTTAATTTTGACCCGTGAACTCAATTCCATTTGGGTTTGGTCTTTGAACTTTACGAAACGTGGAGCATTGTTAGTTTGAATACTTTATGGATGTGGACTTATTGACTATGTGGACTCATTGACTAGTTGTTGTAACCAAATTGATTAAAATAATAATAAAAAAATACAAATACAAACGTAAAGAAGTTTAATATATTTTATTTATAATTTTGTAAGTCATATAACACTCACATCGACAAAATATGAAAACCACACGCAGCAAGTTACCAAACTAACAAAAAATTTAAGAGAAATAAGGAAAATACAGACTATTTTCTTATCCCAACCATTACTTATTCTTAAAAAATTATTATTATTAAAAAGAGATAGAGGATTAGAAATTATTACAATAATTAAAAAAACGAATAATTTTAAACCCAAAACACATTAGTAAAAATCCATCGCTTTTTACCCACTGAAATTTTGGACCCCAGTCATAAATCCCGGCAACAAAGCGAGTAGAAATATCGACGTAAGTGAGGTGAGGTGAAAGAAATCAACTTTGGTTGGCCGAACGACTTTATTCTGTGACAAAATAATATCGACTTCAGGTGAGCTTAAGTTATACGGGTCGTCGTTGTCGTTGACCAAAACATGCTTAAACATATTTCATCTTCCCATCCATAATTATATTAAATTCTGGATCCAATTCCTGCAAGACTCGAAGCCAAGCCTTAGCTACTCTCTGCAACTATGGTAGGCTCAAGCTCCGACTGACGGAAATTCTTCCAACCCCAACAATGTAAGTCACTCTCTCCCTTCTGTTTCCGTAGTTACACACGCTCGCGCACGCACATACGCATATAGAAGACTGGTTTATATTGCCTTCAAGGACCGTGTTCATATGTTCTTGAGTTCGACTGGATTTTGATGCATTCGGGTTACATTTGGCTTGCGAATCGATTTGTTTTGAGAATTGTGTCCTGAACCGCAGGTGGACGAGAAACCGGAGATGCGGCAGCAGATCGGTGATGATGAAAAGGCGAGGAAGCAGAAGGAAATAAATGATTGGCTTCCGATTACTTCATCAAGGAATGCAAATTGGTGGTACGCAGCTTTCCACAATGTCAATTCCATGGTTGGAGCTGGTGTCCTAGGTCTTCCCTTCGCAATGTCCAATCTCGGATGGTATGTTTCGGCGAGCACACTGTCCTGACCAACTGGACTAAACCGCAGACAAGCTTTTAATTGCTCGTTTCATTCATTTCAGGGGTCCAGGATGTGTTGTAATGGTGCTTTCATGGGTGATCACTTTGTTCACGTTGTGGCAAATGGTTGAGATGCATGAAATGGTTCCCGGCAAGCGGTTCGATAGGTACCATGAGCTAGGGCAACACGCCTTCGGCGAAAAGCTTGGCCTCTGGATTGTGGTGCCTCAGCAGCTCGTATGCGAAGTTGGTGTTAACATTTTGTACATGGTCACAGGTGGACAATCCCTGCAGAAGATCCATAAGATAGTAAAGAAAGACAAGGATCCCATCAAGCTCACCTACTTCATCATGATCTTTGCCTCCGTGGAATTTGTCCTCTCCCATCTCCCCAACTTCAACTCCATCTCCGGCATCTCATTAGCCGCGGCGGTGATGTCACTAAGGTACATAAGAAACAGACGTCTTGCACAGAGAATTTCTACTTAAAACAAAATTGATTGTCATTGTGTTGGTCGCAGTTACTCTACCATAGCATGGACTACTTCAATCCACAAGGGTGTTCAGCCAGACGTAGAGTACGGGTACAAAGCTCGAAGCACGTCGGGGACAGTCTTCAACTTCTTCAACGCCTTGGGACAGGTAGCTTTTGCCTATGCAGGCCACAACGTGGTTTTGGAGATCCAAGCTACACTCCCCACTTCTCCAGAAAAGCCATCGAAGTATGCTATGTGGAGAGGGGTGGTGATCGCCTACATAGTGGTGGCCTTGTGCTATTTTCCGGTGGCTTTCATCGGATATTACACTTTTGGGAACACGGTGGAGGACAACATCCTAATCTCGTTAGAGAAACCCGGATGGCTCATTGTAACAGCAAACATGTTTGTTATCATCCATATCATTGGGGGTTATCAGGTAAATTTGTACCAGAGGTCTGCTCTTGGTAAGCTTGGTCATTCGGTTCGATTTTGATCAAATCTTGTTGCAATGCAGCTATTTGCAATGCCAGTATTTGACATGATAGAAACTGTGTTGGTAAAGAAACTGCATTTTCGGCCCACAACGAAGCTTCGCTTCATTACTAGGAACATATACGTTGGTGAGTTTGAGAACGGACTTACCTCCGTCATGTGATTACTAAGTGTATTACGTCGCGTGAATTGATGTTCTTCGTGTGTGATATTTCAGCGTTCACAATGGTCGTCGGAATGACCTTTCCCTTCTTCAGTGGTATCATGGGATTCCTCGGAGGATTTGCTTATTCCCCAACATCATACTATGTAAGTCCCAAGTCTGTCCGTCTCTTTGTATGCAGTCAAATCTAAGTTTAAATCTTACTCACTCACTCTCCGTTTGATTTCATTCTTCAAGCTCCCGTGCATTATATGGCTAGCCATCAAGAAACCGCGCAAGTTTAGCCTATCGTGGTTTATTAACTGGGTACGTACGTAACTTCTTTCGTTCAGAGGTGGTAAAACCAGACCTCCATTAACAATTTCTGTCCTCGGTTTCAGATTTGCATCATACTCGGCGTCCTGCTGATGATCGTCTCGCCTATCGGAGGTTTCCGGAATATCATACTTCAGGCCAAGGAATACCACTTCTACAATTAACAAACTTGTCACACACACGAACAAAACTAGTATACTCTGTAAAATCAATGCATTATATGTAGCTGCAAGCTTATGTGACGAATAAGTACCACGAAAACGAGGTTTTCCATCTGTCTCTTGGTTCGGTTAGGAACGACGGACTTCGACATCCTACCAGTTGGGAGGAAGAAGAATATTGCTGAAGAAAGAAAGTCTCAAATTTTGGGTTTGCTTCAACGCTTCAACTAGATAATAGTGTTATCAATTTATTTATTTCATTTGCCAATAATTGATACATCTTTTAACAAAGACAACTTCGGCTAGTTTGGTATTAATGTGCTTTGAAAAAAAACTGTTTTTGCTGTGCTGTGAGAATAAGCAGCTGTGAAATAAAGCAGTAGAGTATTTGGTAAACTTTTTTGTAAAAGTGCTTTTGAAAAAAAAAAAAAAAACAGTATTATAATGTTTGATAAACTTTTATATAAACCAGATGTAAAAAAAACTGGTTTTTCAAAGTTGGGTTTTTCAGCTTTGTGTTTTTGGTTTTTTTTCACCCAAAACTGTGAAAAAAAACTAAAGCTAACTCTTTACCAAACATTAGCAGCTTTTTTTGATAGTCACTATTTTCAGAATCACCTCAATACTAAACTAGAGCTTCAATTCAGGCAAACATATCCATACATGGGTTATGTCAGTTAGTTACAATATTGTGCCTGCTTCTTGTACCAAGTTCGAATCCCTTCTTGTAAGTTAAGAGCATAATAGAACATCGTTTTGTCAAGAGAATTCAAGTAATCTTATACAGAAACTAGCCAATTGCAACAACACAAGCCAACACGTCTCCCCGCTTTGCAAAGGTCGAGGGGACGTGTATCGTACGTAGCTTACCCTTACTTTGCAAATAGACTATTTCTACAACTGAACTTTTTCGTTGCGCCAAGACTTGCACTCTAGCCAATTGTAACAACATTTGAATAAAAAGACTATGAAACTGTGATTAAGAATACATGTTGCAAATTGTTACATATATAACCACTAATAAAACAACCCAAATTGTAATTAAGCTTTGAGAAACAGCTCAAATTTTCAATTTCAATTCTCTAATTATCTAGTTTTCTTTTCCAATTCGCCAGTCCTGACTCTAAACAATTCCACCCAGAGATTGGAAATCCACAAAATGCTGACAGAAATGGCGGCCACCACCACCACAATCCAAGAAACCCAAACCCACCGCGGAATCAATCCGTCGGCGGCGCCGCTGATGTAAAACGCCCCCATCCGGTACACGAAATACGGACCCACAAAGCCACGGACAATCGAATACAAAATGTAAAATGGAGGAGACAAAAGATCATACACCTTAGCTGCAAACTTCAAGTCGCTTTCTCCGGGCGTTGGCGAGCGTCCAGACGTTCTGGCAGAGGCTGGTGACCTCGGCGAGGATCAGGAGGGAGAGAATGGCGAATGCGCCGTGGGAGGCGACGTAGCGGCAGGTGAGGAAGACGAAGAGCGTGGCGAGGTGGTGGCCGATGAAGAGGACGTCGCTGGGGAAGAAGACGAGGTAGTGGAGGAGGTCGGTGAGGAAGTAGGCGACGCTGTAATCGAGGACGGAGTTCTGGAAAAGGGTGTTGGGGGCGGCGAATCCGGTGGCGGGGTCGGAGAGGATGGCGTAAGTGGAAAGGAGGACGGCGGGGGTGCCGTGGGCGAGGGAGATTAGGCAGCTGGAGGCTTCGGGTCGGATCTTGGGGCTCCAAGTTCGTAAGACGATGAAGTAGGCAATGAGGTAGATGATGGAGAACATGAGGAAGAAGATGGGGAGGCGTGGGAGGGGGAAGTGGATTGGGTTTTGGGTTTCCATTTGAGCTGGAAACGAAATCAAAGGGCTTCGGCGAAGATCACGGAAACGACGACTGGTGTGGTCTGTGACTCTCTATACGGACTGACTGCGTTTGAGTTGGAGAGAGTTCAAAATAATTTGGTGCCCTTTTGAACCGCTAACTCTATTTCTTGTCTACTTGTTCAAAGTGATATTGCGACGGAAATTTTATTCAGATCTATTTATCCTCTTTTTACATTTAATGTATTATTTTTAATCTTAAAATTTCGAATGTGGCCAGAATTCTCTTTCTATGTCCAAAATGTAAATGAACGATAATTTTTTTTATAGCACTAGAAAACTCTGACCACCGCCAATCCTATCCCTCCCTAATCCCCCGCCATCACCTCCCTTACCACCCACAATGAAATCCCCAAAAGATCTCGGCCATCATTACCCCTCTCCCGACTTTTCTTTGGCCACACTACAACTTCTTCTTCCACGCAATCCTTCTAACATGTTTGAACTCCATTGAAACTGTCGACCTTTCAAATCTAACTCTGTTGGACCACGGAGTGTACGATTCATGTGTAGAATCACAATTTTGATGTTATCATGAATTTTGCCAAAAAAAAAAATTCACATAAATTTCTTTCGGGTTGAGGTTTGGAGAGATAGGATGTCTGAAGATGCCTATTGTTGAATTATTTTTTTATTTTTATTCTTGTTGGATGTAGGTGGAATTATTGAGCACATTTGGAATTTCATGATAATAAATAATAAGTTAGGTGCAGAAAGAGAATAAATAGGTCCAAATAAAGTTTTCCTATTCTAAATCGTTATGTCACAAAATAACTCTCACACGGTTTGATACACCAAATGCCGTTATACAATTGAAAGTTCTAATTTTTTCACTTTAAGCTCAACTCAAATTTTCCTCAATAATTTGGAAACGTTATAATCATATATAACTTTGATGTTATCTGCAGTGTCATATTTATCTTTGAGTATGACGCTAATGCTCAAATGAGACTTTGCCCTTCTCTAAAGATACAAAAATTATGTTTAACTGTGATTTGACGGCTTAATGCCTCTGCTTAAAAGATTAAAAGTCAAATTTAACTTTGTTTACTAACTTGCACCACAAAATTTACAATCAAATATGTGTTTTTAACTTGTAACTTTTGCCTTTTAGATTGGAGATGGTTTTAAGTGCAAAAGATGAGCCCTAGCCTTGTACCCCTGGGAACGGAGAAAAACTTACATACATCGCACGAACAGTAGGATTCCTCATTGAAAGCAATAACAACAAAAGTGCGCAGACATTTCTTCTTTTTCAATCCTCTTTTCTTATCAAAATATTATATTTTGTGCTTCCTTGGTTCGTCCACGAGTACAAAAGTAGCAAACGATTTAATCAATTTCCCCCTCTTCTATATCGTTTACAGGACTTACAGAAGCATTTACAGGGCTTGGAGGAACACTACTTACAGGATCCGCGTCTTCCTCCTCTTCATCGTCTTTCATGTACAGGCCAAGTTGTTCCAACGGGTTACTCCCCCCAAACTTAAAGCCGCCTAAGCCGTCCTGCGAGTGATCGGGGCTCGTTTCATCTACAGAGCTCAGTAGCTGCTCCGCAGGGGCAATTCTAAGCATCTCCAGATCTTTAAGAAACCGAGAGTTCTCATTGATTTCAACAGTCTTTTCTATCTGTACACATACAATTTCCCAATTAAAATCCAGATACACTAGAGGGGTATATTTATGCAACATACGAGGAGGTGTCGCGATTTACCTGCATCAATGCCTGCCTTGCTGCTTCTCTCTCAAGCTCCCTCTTCCGTTTAGCCTCAGCTGCAGCTTCTGCTTCTGCTCGCCTTCGAGCATCCTCAGCAGCCTTAGCTTCCGCTTGTAACCGCGCTTTCTCTGCTCATATAGTGGCAACATAATAAGCTAATTTAAACCAACAGACATTTCAGTTTAATAAACTCGGAGATGTCGGTGAACACGGTGTGCAATTAAAGGACTCGTTGCAAAATTTTATGCCACCAACCCAATACAACACATGCACACATCAAAGGAATTGATGCAAACAGAAAAGTAAACTTTAAACGTAAAGACCTCCACCTTTCTTCTGTTGCAATTCAAGTTCCTCCCTCTGCCTCCGCAATTTCTCAGGATCTTCTTTATCACCCTGATCTCAGCCAGATCAGATTGCACGGGATCACATCCAGAGTAGAATACTAGCAAAACGGATTCATACATATGCAGTAAGTACACAAGTAGCGTGACTCTGTAACCCACCTGATTAAGTGTTTTCTCTTGTGCTCTTAAAATAGTATCAGCAAAACGATTCTTCAATAGAGCAGCCCTGTACTGCTTCTCGGGGGAGACTGACCTCTCTGGAGGAGCACTGTCTCCTACATTTTTTACAGAGATGAATTGAACTATGAGATGCTACCACAAACCAACAGCATAGGCTGCATAGCTACTATTTTTTCAAACAAATACTGTTTTTTTTTCTTTATATTGGTTTAACTCTTTGGCTTACCATGCTGGCAACAATCTGACTCAACAGGACTTGGCTTCTGCTGGGAACTTTGTTCAACTTGATCCAACCCACTATCAGAATCTGTAAGATCCCATGGATTAGAAAATTTAATGATCCACAAGTAATTCAAAATCCATAAATACAATCATATTTCAGAGAAGTCCAAACCACATCATTAGTAGAGTACAACCAAGATGGTTACTAAAATGACTGACAACTCTTCATGCCCCATCATTAAGCTATATACGGTAATAAATGATCTGATGGCAGCATAAATGAGATCATGTTTATTATATATAAACGAAAACATGTTTTATTATAAATAAGAGTTGATCAGATGTTCTGCATCTGGCAACAGAAAACATGAAACACTCTTCCAAACACTTCAATCTCTATTTTAAGCAGGAAGGTGCTTCCTCTCTATTCATGATCCTGTTTAATTTCCTGCCCAAGACGTTGTCAAAAGATTCCCTATTATTTTCTATAACTAAGCACACTATTCTAGACCCACCCTGTGTTTCTCATTTATGGACTGGAAACTGTACATAAATTTTTTTTCATGCAACACCTAGAGAATGGAAGGAGGAATGTAATTTAATTAAAAAGATACTCACGATTTCCTTCGAGGGGATTATCAATTGTTGTCTTTTCATCTAAATGAGTTCCAGAACCCACAGTTTCTGGTACCTGAAGAAGAATTAAGTATAATGTCAGGTCCGTCAGTCAAACCACTCTACCCATACACTATTGTACCACACAAACTCAATAGCACACAGCATAATAGTTCATAAACCATCCATCATGAGAGGTACACAAATTGATTTGATATATTTAACATAAAAATTCAGACAGCTTATGCTCATTTACCGGACTTCCAGCCTTCGCATCATCACATTCACTCTCAGAACTGCTAGAATCTGAATCTGTAAAGCATACACAAGATACAAAATCATTTAGTGTTTATGAAACTCAGGAAAAAATTTCACATTTCTCTTTTACAAGCATGCGTAGCCTTTTTTCTTTGTTGGCCTCAATTTAAGTCAAAACATGAACACTATATTTGCTCCAACCAAGCCCTACTCTAATTTTTTCTCTGCCTCCGTTAAATAAAGCTAAAAGATGATACAATTTAATGCATGAAATTGGAGAAATAAAAAGTTGCTTCAACAAGCCCTACACAATCTCAGAAACCTATGAAGACCCAAAACACGGACAAAAAGTCAAGAAACAGAACATATGAAGGATCTAAACAAAGAAACATGGGATCAATTTACCACTGGAGCTGCTTGAGCTGATGGCTTTACTACTTTTACTGGCCAGTATCCATTTCTATCTCTACAGGAGGATAGCTTGAGACAGGAGGCTCATTTCCACCAATATCAACATCTTCATCAGCCGGGTCATTCCCTACAAATGCACATACGTGAGGTGGGGGGAACTAAAACTGAAGTCGGCACTTATATATGCAAGTAGATAAAGAAGCATATGACCTTTACATGGCTGCATGGATGAATTGCTCAACCCTGATTCATTGATAAGCTGCAATAATAGCGACAACAAACTATGTTTTTATTATTCTATTTGATTCAGGAATAGGAAAAAGTTGACGTTGAGCTAATACCTCCATTGAACAAGGTTCAGCCCTTACATGGTTCTTTTGTTTCTCTTGCAAATACTCATTTAAAAGCCTCCGTAATGTGAACAAGGTATCATCACTTAGAACATCAATATCAATCTCGATCTCATCCTCACCAGAGTCCTTTCCATTTGAACTATGTTCCTTCAAGAAATCAATGATGCGTAAGGGCATTTCTCCAATCAAAGACTCCAACTCTCTGCTCAGATTGAGCTTCTCCTCCGTTGTCATTACTCGCTGAGGAGCCTCAGACTTGACTTCATTGTGCACTGACGTGATAGTCCTCTTTTTTGAGGGGGGTAATGGTTTAGGAGTTTCTATGCCTTCATGAGGACCAGATTTAGTTGGTGGTTGTTGGCAATCAGCCTTGGGCAGTTTTTTTTCAAGGGTTTTCCACCTGACTTCAAAAAATTTACTAAGAGTATCAGCCATGTTATAGACCTTATTTTGTGGTGGATTGTACGTCATAGCATTGGTGAAAGTCATCCTGACATCAGCAGCAAACTCCAGTGGGGTTGAATAAGATCCCGAAGCTATCTTGCTCTTTACCGTACCCAAGTCCATTGGATGTTTGATAACAGTGAAATAATCTGGAATGTTCAACTTCACCACATCAACAGGTTCATTGAAAAGCCAACTGGATTGATGGGACATCAACCGTTTCAATAGTGCCTCACATTGTTTCATAAGAATCACACTAGCAGTAGCTAGAGTCAAACCTCCCAGAAGTTCCCGGATTCTGTTTCTGTGCTTTTGAAGCCCCAGGATTCAGTCTTTTACCTGGCCCAGAAATCATTGTGGACGACTTTCTAAAATTATCGACATGCGGCCCATTCTGGCCATTGCTGATGATATCACTAGAAGAGGACACTGCAACACCATTGGTTCTATGCATTTCAACTTTCTTCCGAAGTACTCGTATCTGCTCAAGTTCCATATTCAACGTATGTTTCAAATCCTTCCTCTCTGATGACAACATGTTTGACAGGGGAAGAATTTGTATGGGCACACCAAAACTGTCACGGTTACTAGAATTCAAACTAATAGATTTCCTCGTCAGAGCACTTGAATCCTCTGAGCCAGTAACTTCTGCGTCGATTCTTCCTGAGCTACCGGAGCATTCACCAGCCTGCCCAAAAGCACTGCCATAGTACCCTCCCCTTCCCGGGTTCTTGTTCTTCTTGGCCATGACCAAATATCTCAAAGAATCTCCTAGCACTATTCTTTATACCATAACAGTGATTTTCCAGTTAAACAAAAAGGGGTCAGCTAGGTTGCTTAGGAAGGAGCAATAAAATCAAGTTCTCCAATTTAACCGCCAAAATTATTACTATTCGATACCAAAAAAAACCACATACGAAGAAGAAACTTATTAGAGCTTAATTTTAAATTATCTTAAAAAAAAAAAAAAAAATGAGAACGAACAATCCGACGAAGAAGAAACATTCATCACATAGTTTAACAACAGTAACATTAATTCATGGGTAAGTTCCAGAGCTCAATTTTTACACAAGAAGTGAAAATTGGACAAAATTGAATTAAAACCCTAAATCTTGCACAGCAACTAATTCGACAAAAGTGAACTACATAAAGCACAAAAAATCCCAAAATTGAAAGTAATCCAAAACCCTAGAAAAATACCTGTAGTAATTGCTGAGCTGCCCACTTGAGTTCCAGAGCTCTCCTGCGATCAAATTACACGAAGTCTTCTGCGCGATGACAAATCGAGGTCGAGAACACTTCAGAGCAATGAGACGCAGAAACTGCGAAGGGTGGAGAGTGCAGAGTGAGTAAAACCCTAGAAAACCCGACTTGAACAGTGACTGGATCGCGACCCGTACCCGCCCGAAGCGACGAAGAAGAAGACGAGCTTGAAGAATGCGAGGTTTGTTTCTTTCCCGCAGAGTAAGAGCACGACTTCAAAAAAAAAAAAAACAGAAAGAAAAAAAAATAATATCACTCCGACTGCCTTGACTGTTAAAGCCTTCTGATTTAAATATCGGTTAAAACAGGTGGCCACCATGGGATATAATTTAACCGACATTTCACGAAGTTTAGAATTTCAGCCGTTGGATCTGATTTAGCAGTTATGCTGATGGAAGCGGATTAGCGGGTGATTTTTTTTTTTCTTTTAGAAGGCTCTTTATCTAAAATAGTGTGTTTGAATGTGCTTTTAATATTACTGAAAGCGTTTTTAATGAAAATATTTTTAAAATTAATTTTTAGTAAATATGCAAGTAAATTTAAAAAAAGTACTTAAAGTGTTTCCTAGAAAAAGCACATTATTGATGCTTATTCCAAAAACATTTTAAGTGTTTTTGGAATCCAAAAACATTTTTTTCTAAAATCACTTTCAATAATTTTACAAGCACATCCAAACGAGCTCATAACTTTTTATTTGGTCGATGAAATTTGAAATTGATAAAGGTAGTCATTGAGTTTGTCTACCATCAATCACTTTAGTTGTTATGTGAAAAATCTATATTAAATAAAGATCAAAATAACAAAAATACCGAAATGAATAATGATGAATGAACTCAAGACCAGTTTCTATCTATTCAAATATCAAGAATTAATGTGAGAAGTTATATAAACTATTTTATATAGAAAACTCAAAACTTCAGCAAAATCATATTCTAAATTACTCTTTAAAAAAACAAAAGCACATTCGATAAAAAAAATAATAAAATAATAAAAATAAAAAACCAAAAAAAAGTTTAAACCCTCAAGACTATCACTCTCACCCCACTTGCTGCCACTCTATTAGGCCTCACCCACCTCCCCCGCCGCCGCCCTTCCCCGCACTACGGATACCTCACTGGCCGGTGAAATCACGCAGGTCCCCAAGTTCCTACTTTAAATTCGTTGTCATTTCTGTCTGACATTTGTATAGACAATCTGATTACCCAGAAGAGCAAATCGTTCAAGGTAATCTTTCCTTTTTCTGGGTGATTTTTTTTTTCTTCAGTCAAGATCAATTTTGTTCACAGTTATCATATAAATTTTGGTGAATTATTTTCCTTTTTTATGTTAAATCTCCAGTTTGTAGGTTGTAGGTTGTAAGGGACATGATCCATGCTTCTTTTCCTACAGCTTGCAAGGCTTTGTAAGAATTCGTAACTCTTAATCTTTACACATGTTGTATTTACTTACTTCCGGAGATAATGTTTTGCCTGTTTTCGATTTAAGGAAGAGAATTGTTGTAAATAGTATGTTTTTGGTTCATCTCAGTGACTGTTGAGTCGAGTTTCGATTTCTCAGCCTCCCATGTTGAAAAATGTATAGTTGTATAACCATTATTGAAAAATTTGAACTTGAGTAACCAAGAATGAACGTTGAATGGTAGGTTTCGGAAATTGGTCGAAATTGGTTGAGGTTGAGGGAGTTATCTAATAGAGTACATTTTGCTTGTCTAGGAACTTTGGAGCCAGAGCAGTACGAAGGTCATTGGGTTTTCAATCATACTTTGCTCGCAAGGTTTTAGTCAGGCGGATTCGGATGGAAGGTAAAAATCAGAACTGTAGCCTAAGAGGTGGAAAGGAGGATTCAAGAGGTGCCTTGGTTGTTCTTGAAGGCTTGGATCGGTGTGGGAAGACAACACAGTCTGCTAGACTAGTCACAAACTTGGAGAGGTTAGGATATTCAGCTGAGTTGTGGCGCTTTCCTGACAGAACTACTAGTGTTGGGAAAATGATATCTTCGTATCTTTCCAACGAATCACAACTGGACGATCATACAATCCATCTACTCTTTAGTGCCAATCGTTGGGAGAAGAGGTTAGTTGTGTTGTTCTTTTTGTTGTGGGGTTTGTATATTCACGAGAAGAGAGATTGCACTTCTTCTGATTGTTGGTTTAGTTTAACTGATGTCAGGGCAATACGTGATAGTTGTCAGCTTCTGTTGCGTTGAGAAACCAATGTAACATACTGATGGATAAAATATGTAATGAAATCTAAAGTAGATATGTAAGCAGCAAAAGTTACTTCCTTTGTATGGCTAACGGCGAGGAAATAAGTAGGTTCAGTTCTTGTTTCTATAATGTCTCTGCAGATCGTTGATGGAAAGCAAATTGAAAAGTGGAACCACTCTTGTAGTTGACCGTTATTCTTATTCAGGGGTGGCTTTTTCGTCTGCCAAAGGACTTGATATCGAATGGTGTAAGGTGGGGAAGTGCTCTTTATTTTTGTTTTTACCCTACAGAGCTTTATATTCTCTATGATGATATTTTAAAAATTGCGGTGTTCTTTTGCAGGCTCCGGAGATTGGGCTATTGGCTCCAGATCTTGTAGTGTACCTTGACATACCCCCTGAAGTATGTAGCCATTCTATTGTTTACAGTGAATTTTAGTGAATAAAAACGCCCATATTCTGTAATTCTGGATTTTGCTGTGTTAGTTCAGTTAATTCCTACATGATTATATATCTAATTTTGAACATGGTTACAGTGATTTCTCGTTACCTATATGATCTGACATATCTTCCAAGACGTACAAACAGCCCCTCATAAGAAGTTTAGTGGATATGCGTTGATTTTGCACAGTCAATAGGTTCTCAAATAGAGGAACCTGACATCTTAAGGTTCTTATCTATGCTGATATTGATTGTTGATAAAATGAGAGCTGTTACATTTTTCCTGTTGTGAAGTTGGCTCATGGTCCTCAGTTTTTAAATATATTAGTTCTTGTAAATGATTAACCTGGACGGTGGATTCTGCAAATTAGATGGACGTTGTAACTTTTTTCCCATTTTTTGATGTGAAGTATGAATGTATATATTGTCAGAAAGCTGCCGAAAGAGGAGGCTATGGAGGTGAGAGATACGAGCAGCTTGAGTTTCAGAAGAAGGTTGGTCACAACTATCAGGTCCTCTGCAGTCCCACTTGGAAGGTAGTTTGTTGATTCATTCTTGAAGTTCAATACAGAACCTGGATATTTTCTTCCGGTTCTCGGTTGTGATGCCATCTTGAGCATGTCATCCTGAATGATTGTACACAAAGAGCATAGCTTGACTGTCATTATCTGACGATGGTTTACACATTTTAACTTGGAGCGATGCTGCAAGTTGGTAATTTTCGTATATTGTGGATACTCATTGCAGTAGCGGTTCAAAAACAACTAAGCCTGCAACTACTGCTAGATTGTTTGGTTCGCAACTGTTACTCTTGAAGTATACAATTCCTAGGTGAGTTAAATTACTTGGATATTATGCAGAGGTTAAAATTTTGTTTTGGCTTGATGCAGATCATAGATGCCTGTTCATCCATGGAGGACGTCGAGGAACAGTTGCAAGAGATGGTACTTGAATGTATAAAACCATGCCGAGAAGGGAAACCCCTCTCATGTCTCTGGTCTGGTTAAATTTTCTCTTCTCCGGAAAGGGCGAAGCGCTAGTATCTTTGGAAGGTCGAATGCAGATTCCGGGCACAATGAGCAGTGAACAAGCTTGCCCTGCTATCTGTACGAGGATTTCATGTCGGATCATAGTACTACATTACTCGTGTTTCAAAAGTAGATTCGGTGTTTCGTACTCCTTTAACAGCGAAAAGGTCGTAAAAGTATCATCGGTTTCAAGGATGCTGTCCGATTGTGGTACTCTGACTATTAACGTATCATTACTATTTGTTGACTGAAATAGACGAGATTCCGAATTTTTTTGAATGAATATGATTGTAACCTCGGCATTTCAGCCTGAATATATGATATGCATGACAATTGACAGGATATTCTTAGGTTTAGGATCCGAGGTCCATACTTTTGACACATTTTGAAACAAGTTTTTTGTGGGATTAATCCGTAATATATATTTTAATGATTCAACCACGATTGTTTATGTTTTACCTCAAAGACTATCTTTACTAATAATACCCAGATATGAAACTATATGACCATTGAATTAAATTTAGTATTTACTTTACTGAATTGTAATTGTCAATTTTCTTCGCTACAAATGAATGCCTTAATGATTTTGGATTTCTTGAATTTTTTGCAAAGATGATTTATGAATGATAGAATAAAATATAGACGTTTCGGACCGTTGAAATACATTACAAAATGAGCTCTACAAAATAAGTGCCAAAGTGTATGTCAAAAGCGAGTGTACTCATATCCTAACATGTATATATTAGGCCACAAGCTATACGAATAATCAATAGTAAAATGGTAGGAATATCAAAGTAAATAACATGATGTGGCGATTGATGGTTAGACTCTTCTTTTAATAATTTAAAAAAAGTCCAATCACATCAATCAGCATATCATATTGTTTACAAAAATGATTTAAAATATGGTCTCTTTAACATCACCGAATGAATATATTGCATCTGCATTTTCCACTTTATTTGTTTTCCAATACCTGCCTCAGTTTCGATAAATTTGCGTGTTTGTAAATTTGTGAGCGGGGGCTGGCAAGAAAGGAAATTACGGGAAATTACTTCCCATATCTTCTCTTTTCGAGCAAATTTTCAATCTTTTCAGAATACGTTATTTTGCTGTTGTTGGTAATGCAAATGAAGGTTTTGGTCTACTTGGCTTGATTTGCCGTGGCATTTGAATTTGTTAATGGGTGCATATTGATCATGACAAAGTGTAATTTATGCTTGCCTTGATTTTTCATTGGAAAGAAAAATGAAACCCTAGTTCAATTGAAGGTTTCGGTTTCTCATAAAATAAGTGTCTTATTTTTTAAAGCTATCAAACATGAGAAAGCAAGTAATTTTCATTTTACGTGCAGTTGCTCTAAAGCCTATATGTTAGATTTCGTGACTTATGTTATTATAAAGAAAAATGTTAGGGAAATTATATTCTTGTACTACGTCGGTCTACTATTAGCAAAAATAAGAGTAGCAGAGGTGAGAATGTTTCATTGGATATGTGAGGACACGAGAAATGACAAGATTAAGAACGAGGATATCCGAGTTAAAGTAGGAGTAGCCGCAATTGAAGATAAGACGAGAGAAAATCAATTAAGGTGATTTGGACATGTGAACCGAAGAGCCACATATACTCCCGTTAGAACATGCAATTATGAGACAAAGACTCAGGGCAAAAAGGATAGATGGAGACTTAGGAAGATTTCGAAAGAGATTCTAGGAAAAGACTTGGAGTACTTGGAGTTAACAAAAGATTTGGCGCAAAATTGAGCGCAGTGAAATTTTAGAATTCATACAGCCTACCCCACTTAATGAGATAAAGATTTGTTATTACCGACGTACTATCTAATGTATTAAATGATGTGTGATGTCATATTTTTATAAATCCATGATCCATGTAGTACAAAAATGTCGTTTTCCAAACATCAACTATTACAAAATGTTTTGGAGCTATCTGTCATCTAACTTATCCGTTAATTAGATTATTTTGCAATTATAAAATGTTTTGGAGGCATCTGTATAGACTTTAGATATATGCCAACTGCAAAGGTTGATAGGGCATCTGTATGTTTTATAATTACCAGTGCTTAGGTGGCCTCACTTAATCGACTCACGTACGTCCAGCCAGCCTTTCATTTTCTTTTCAGTTTAAACCTAATCAAAGTGTACGAAACGTTAATACTACTAATTAATAATTTGGAATGTTTGTACCAAATACATGCCTCATCCAATCAAAACACTGTGTCCAGCTCTCGCCTTCTCATGTTTTCTGTGTATTGTTAATGGTTGGAATACATCCCTCCCTCAAAGAAGAAATTAGTACTTAATTGAGCAAGTTTCACCAATCAACATTGGGTGAATACTGATTAATTAATGATTAAACATGGAAGTCAAACTTGTGAGCAATTTCTAATGAAAAACTCTTAAGGCATCAGTTTGATGTTTAGAACTGGACTTTCATGGATAATCCAGAAGACTTAAAAGTATATTGACGTTTATTTTGAAGGAATCAGATAGAGATTAGATACGAAAGGAATTAACTTATCGCTTTTGACTATTTCGGGGAATTAGAATAAATAAGTTTCGTTAATGAGTAATCTATATTATCTTCAAGTTAGACACAATTTTATCTCTTTCTTCAACATACTTTGAATATAATGGATTATCTGTTCCAATCCAGTCCTAAGAAACAAAAGAAACATTGAGCTAATTAAGTGGATACAGAGAAATAGTTGTCGATGTTTGTTGAAAGAGAGTGACCGTCAGATAGGGAAACATGCAAAGGGAGAGTTGGCATCAGGCAATATCCTCGAATGAGAAAGAGTTTCAAGAGAACGATCGAGATACTGATTACAGTGCATGCAGCCTTGATGGTCAGTTATGGAGGATGATATGCGTGAAGGAATGAAGAAAATATTGAGAAGAGGATCATCACTAAAAATATCAAGCAAGAAAGAATAAAGGAAAAGAAATAAGGAAGACGGGCTATTGCCTTTGTTACTTTGAGATATTTAGCACATTTTTTTGTAACCATTTCATTTGTAATTAGTTTTTAGTTTTTTATCTTTATGCATCTGTTATGGGGAAAGCACATAAGAGAAAGAATGACGAATAAGAGTGGAGAAAGGACAGTCTGATAGATGTAGAAGAAATGTATAAGGTAACGTACACAAATTGAAAACTAAAACAAAAAACTATTTTGAGTTGTGTTTTCGCCTTCGAGATTTTGTGTTCATCTTATTCATCCTCACCTCCCACCATGCTTCTTCATTCATCCATTATCTCCTATACTTTATATCTCAAGCATAAAAAGTGAAAACTAAAAATTAAAAGATGAAATGGTTATCAAATTGACATTTAGATTTTAATCTTTGGATAAATAAGATTTATTTTTCATTAAACCAACTGTTGGATTGAATTTTGATTTTATTCCTTTGATTAATTACATTAGTTTGAATATATATACACACACACATCTAAGAGTAACACGATTAAACACTATGAGTTTGTAATTACCTACGAGAGATTTCGTACCCATTCAAGATAAAGTACCTAATTAGGATGACTAAAATGAAAATCCAATTAACACCCTACTTTAATTAAGTATCTGATTTTCTATTAAGCAGAAATTAAGGGAATCTTATGTTTTGCTTGTTTTGCTAGGTTTTATTAGCTTGGAATGCATATTGCAATTAATTTAGACTGTAAATTCCTGTTTTTGTTATAAATAGGTCAAAGTTAGAGAGATAACCTTTTTAATGGTAGGTGCAAGGTGGATGTTAAATGTCACACTAAAAATATAGCACAAGAGGATATCAAATAAAAGGCAAAGAAATAGATGATGTTACTGATATTTTTCTCTCGTTCTCTTCTTCTTATATTTTCTGTAACTTGAAAACATACGGAGTGCTCTATTTATAGAGCAACTCCAAACTGATGCATTAACTGCATATTGAAACTTACGACACTTCCTTTGACAATACAATTTCTATGTATTTACAAATTCAACTTTTACTTTGCATGAGCATTGAAAACTTCTGCCCATCCTGAAAACTTCTGCTAATGTACTGTGGGCATTCATTACCCACCAGACTTTTCAACAGTTTTATTTATCTAGCTAAGCAGATTGTATTATCCCTTCCTTTCAAGTCATTGCAGTGTATTTTATAATTTTCTTTCTTTTAATTACTGCATGCTGATGATGAAACTACGTACGTAATTATCCACCAAAAATGGAAAAAAAATTTAAGAAAAGAAACGAAACAATTCATAGACAGATCGAGAAGCAATATACATAATTATTGGACATCGATTAATCTCTGATGATAACATGTGCATTATTGCGCATTAGAAAAACATAAACATACCAGCGGTTTTTTACATAGCTTGCTTGCTCATACATTATATATGTACGTACTCAAACCTTTAAGGATTTCATCAGCAGCTGCTTTAATTTGCTGCTAAATCAAGAGTATACGTACAGTAGAAGTGGAGTACGCATATAGCCATATATATATAGCTACGTATCCCTTTTTTTCAACTCAATGCGGTTTCTTGGCATTGAGATAATTCAATATCTAATACGTACGTACGGCTTCGTGCTTACCAGTATGTACACTTTCAAGACCACTGTTCAATTATTCTTCAGATCCACAGAAGCTAGCCAGCCTCCTCGGGAAAGATCAAGCCCTGTTACAATAATTCTAGCAAAAAAAATTAAAAATTAAACATTAATTATTATATGCATAAAACAATAATTAACAAGAAATGAAAATAATAATTGACAAGAAATAAACATTATTTACTATCTACACATCCATTTTTACTTCTCATATATTTTTTTAATTTTTAACCATTAGATCGAATGAATTGAAAAATATCAAATAAAGAAATTAACAAAAATGCATGAGAAGTAAAAAAAATATGTAGATATCACATTCCAAAAGTTAAAAGAATTACACAGAAGATATGAGCTTCTTCTGTAGTCCACTCTATATATCTTAAACAATTTCCCGGGGCAGAGATCCAAAATTCCAAATATAGCACTAAGACAAGCTACAGTTTTAGCTGATATTTCTACTTTTGGCACTTTTTTAACTGTATCATTGAGATCACATCAAGTATACAGTATACGATAAAATATAATAATATTTTATATATTCCAGCTGGTTCCATGAATCCAAACATTTCTGACTTTTCTTCTGAACCAATTAACTCGTTGAACATGTCATGCATGCAAATAAAGTGAATGAGAAGACTGATGTTATCAGATGATACTACAACCAGCGGGACAAGAGATATTCAACGAGCTATAATGCAAGGTAGTTATTTTCCTGGCAGTCATGATGTAAGGTGAAGGAAATGCAAGTCTACAGGTGAAAAAGTGAGCTAACTCGGATTAGTTATATAATAATTTGATTTATATTTTTATTTAACCAGAATCGAATTTAAAATTTTTTATTTATAAATAAAAAATAATATTATTAAAACGTAATACTATGCAGCAATTTAAGTACTTATCAGACCAAAGGAATAGTAACTTAGGTACTTAGTTTAAGAATTACAACGCAAGTTCTTCATTTTTCATCAGCAAACGAATTTAACAATGGGGAAAATTTTATTTTTATAACACACCCCCAAGGAAAAAAGGGGAAAAAAATAGTAGAATTCTACTGGGAACAATCAATATCCACACGGAATAAATGACAATATACTAGTTATCTATCTGATACCAAGTAATTGTTCCAATCATCTCCTCTGTTCTATGTAAAAAATTACTTACATGAAATAAGGTCACTAAATTTAAGATGCTTTCATTAATTATGACACCAAGTAAAAAAGTTAAAGCATATAAAAATGCGTAATATGTGTGGGACAATGCCACCATTTTTGTGTTCTCGGCTCATGTAAGTCTCTCTTTTATATATATATCTCCTCCCAAATATTTGTGATTTTAATTAATTTTATTTATTTTAAAAAACAGTAGTTTCTTGTTCCTTCTATTTCTAATTCATTCTATTGAATGCAAACGAGGAACAGAAGTTATTTCTCTTATTAATTATGTGCATATGTGTGTGTATATATATGTATGTATGTATGTATATAAGAACTATTTTTTCAAGTATTGATAAATAACATCATGCAGATTAATTACCAATTGTTGATTGAACACTGGAATCTAATTAGGGTTCAAAAGTTCAATTTAGTAATTGACTTTCCCATCATTAGAGATGATATTCTCAGATAGATAAATATATATACACAATTTGTTAATCGTTTCGTTTTGGCTATTAATTAGTATAAACATCATGTTTCTGGCAAAGAAGTGCACCAAAAGCATGATGCCATCTAAGCCAACCAGCCAGATGGTTATATATAGAAGGATCAAATTAATTTAAAGGGTTAGATGTAGATGAGATGACTGTGGCTAAAGTTGGCATTACCAGCAGGATAGAAAGAATAGGCCAGTCTCTCTTTATCTTACCTGGCAAGAAGATCAGAAAAAAAAGGGGATTAGTGTTGGCTCAAGCTTAATTAATACAATAAATATATAAGAGATATGGTCATAAATTAACCTGGTCTCTTCTTAAATTATACTGGTGTTTAAACATTGGTTCTTGTTAATTTGAATAATTACTTAATTAGTTACTGGATCGGCACGACTCTACCAATGAATTAAAAAGCAGAAAACTAAAACGAAATTGTTTATATCACTAACTTTGTCCCACCTACACCACAAATAAAGTTTTGCCAGCTATAGCTTGCTCTGCTACTCGTTTAGGAGTACTTAATCCGTGTTTATCTTAATTTGCGCACTTAAATTAAGTTTAATTGGCGAAGTTAATGATCAAACTAACTCAAAAGTGTATAATATATATATATGAATACAAATTATATACCTGAGATCTTCATCTTCCATTCCATAATCTACTGATAATCTGTACGAATCTTATCCATAAATACGATTACAAACGACTTCAAATCAACGGCCCAGAGTGAGAGCAGCGTTAACGTCGAGCCTCCATGCAAATCCTCCATCGTCCATTCTCCACAAATCACAAGGCACAGTTCGGGAGCACTTGTCCTTACCCACCGTGTACTGCAGCTTTACTTGGCACGCTATTAACGCTGAAGCATCCGCGTACGGCAGTTTCTCTTTCACCACCAACCACACCGCTATCTCCCCTGCGCGCTTCTGCTGGCTCACCATCCTCTTAAACGCCCCGTTCAGCCACTGCACCCTGTTCTGACCGTCCGATATAAAACCAGGACACGTGTCACCCTCCAGATCACTCATCATCCTCGCCGCGTCCCTACTCCTAAAACTTCCAAACGTACCTTGCACATTCATGCATGTGCCTTTCAAGCACTCCACCGTCACCCAAGACTCCACCGCCACCATCTGCCGCATCCCCTCCGTCGGATCTGATCCTCCTCCACCACCCATGTAATTCCTCAACCACATGGGAATTCCTAGGCCTAAGCTCTCATCTTCTTTACCAGTTGGATTACTATTGTTGTTATTTCTATCGTTATTATTGTCCGTCACCGTAGGATCTAACGGACGCCAAGATTCACCGTTCGATGAGCCGTTGTTATCGTTTTCCTCCGGCAAGAGCTGCAGCGTCGTCACCACGCGCTTAGGATCCTTGTTCTTCGCCCTACATACATTATTCTTGGAAACCCTAACGTACTTTCTCTTTCTTCTTGCACTCGTCAAAATAGTGGAAACCGAGTTCTCGTTATTACCAACCTCTCCGGCTCTGTTCGCCACCGGTTTCGGTGCAATCGGCCGAAATCTAAGCATGTTCGCGTTCACGATTGCAGGCTTATCCTGCCCCCCACCATCTCTTCTTAGCATCCGCCGCCGTTCTCCGCCCTCCATATCAACAACCTTTACACAATCTTTCTCTCTCCACTTTCTCTCTCTCGCCGAAATGGAAGCTACGACTAGCGTTTATTATATTAATGGGCGGTAGGCAGAAGTTAGTAACAACGAAACGTGAGAGGAAGCGCGTGTGCAGTAGTACCAACGCCCCTTCCCCACCACGGGCTAGGGTTACAGCTCCGAAACAACGACGGGGTCCAAGTGGTTAAAACCTTTTCCCCCCCAGTGGGGCCCACTATAACTCATGTCCCTCTCTCCCATCCAATGAGGGAGCACTATGTGTCAGCCACTTTCAAAAGCAGACGTCGACGTGGGGCTGCCTCGAGCATAGCGTACTTCTGTTGCCTTTGGGGAGGTTCGAGATATCAAATACGTGGTCGTCTTCCATTCGCCAAGAACATCAAAATTCGGTTTGCGAAAGAGTAACATTAAAAGTTTACACGCGAAACACACCGCGTGACGCGCACACTCGCGTGGACGGGCTCTCACCCACGCCAACAATTAGAAGGGTAGGCGAACGACGTGGAGTTTGTGCGAGTGAGAGAGATAAAATTGGTGCTTTTACGATATGGACGCGTGGTTGGTCGGATGGACAAGTGAATCTTTGGGCAAGATTTTTTAGGTTTATTTTGGGTTTAATTTCCATTTATGGAATAGAAAATTTTCCAATATTGGATACCTGTGATCGAGCGCTGCCACGTGATACCTGTGATCAAGTGCTGCCACGTGTTCTTAAAATATCTGCTGTAAATCCGTAGCTTTTTATTTGTCAAAGTTGTAAATTCATAGCTAGATCTACTATTTCTGATAGTATTATTTAAAAAAAAAATAATGAAAATAATTTCAAAATTTTGTATTTTAACTAAAAGTTATCTAATAATTTTATTTAATAATAAAGATAAAAAAAACATAAAATATAAATATGTATGCCCAACATGCGTTAAGTTTCATAAACAAGGTAGTACAGTTAAATTTTATAAACAGTGTAGTACGATTAAGTTTCATAAACAGTATAGTACCGTTAAGGTTCATAAACAATGTAGTAAGTTTCATAAACTTAGTACTGTTAAGTTTCATAAACAGTATAGTACCGTTAAGTTTCATAAAAAATGTAATAAATTTCTTAAACAGTGTAGTACCATTAAGTTTCATAAACAGTGTAGCAAATTTCATAAACAACGTAGTCAGTTTCATAAATAGTATATGTGAGGACGCACGGTCCGGCGTGTCATTTTTTTTAATTTTTTAATATTAAAATTATATCTTTACCATTAATTTTAAGTTCTTTTGCCATTTTTATTAAAGTTCAAGAAATTTTCATTAAAATTTAAGTTTTTTTTATTAAATAAAGTTATAGCATGATTTTTTGTTAAAATAAACTTACGCCAAATCTTTTTCTTCAAAGTTTCATATTTTTAATTGTACAAATTTATCAATATATGAAAGTAAATATAACATGTATAACCTGGAAAATTCGCAAAATAATTTAAAATGTACTGTTTCAATTAACTAAAGACTTTCCTGTTCTAATTCGACTTACGGATTGAGCAAAACACTATGCTATCAATGTCGGACGGAGTTGGATTCCTCTCCTTCTTAATGCAGAACAATTCTTTGTAAATATAGATCCAAAGAGTATCGTTCCATAAGAACATTTTTTTGAAAAGAAAAAAGAACATTTTAAAATCTAAGACACATTTCGTCACCTAAAAGAAAAAGACAAATTCATTATTTTATAGTTGCAAGAGAAGGTTCATAACTATATATATATATAGTCTCTTTCCGTTTGGCAATCCTTCACAAGCTTACTCATATATACATTAACTGTGTATATGCTCATCATAAACTTTCTAAGCTACCATGTGTCCTTTCACTCAAACTATGGTTAACTTTTGTAATTTATTTTTAAAAATTCAAAAATTAAAAACTTAAACAAAAATAGTATTAAAAAACTAAACAGTCGCCCAAAGCAACCACATATCCCTTGCCGTCTACCAAGCCTTATCTCTCTCGCTCCGTTTTCTATGGAGTGTGACATCCATTCCTATTTTTAAATCTCACACATATTTTGTTAATTTTTATTATTTAATTTTTTCAATTCATTCAATCCGACGATCGAAAATTAAAAATGTATGAAAAGTAAAAAAAGTTATTCTTTAATGCTGGGATTGGTGGACATTCGTGTTACAGGTGGAAACGATCTGCATGTAGGCCCCTAGTTTTCTATTTTTTTTTTACTTTTTGAGTCGCAGGTCGGGCGACTCTCGTTCTTCCAGTAGATGACCCTGAGCAAGAAGAGGCAGAGCACGACACCACCAGCAAATTCAGTTTGAGGAGGTTGTGGGTGACGGCGACGAGGCCCTTGAGGCCATCGAGGCTGGGAATCGTAAGGAGGGGCACTATGACGACATGACGACTCTGCGGCGGTGGCGCAGCCGAGGACAACTCACTCCAACGTCAAATATCTGTGCTGATTGTTTTTCAGGTGGTTGTTTTTTTTTTTTTTTTTGGAAAATTTGAGTAGTATGCTTTGCTTTGTGATTAACTTCTGGCGATTTTAATTTGCATTTTTGAAGGGAGAACGATGAACTTGGTTTTATTATTTTAGTTTCAATTGTAGGTCTATTTTTTTTTTTTTTTTTTTTTTTTTGGAATAAATTACAAAAGTTAATCAATTATAATTAAGTGGGAGAACACATGACAGCCTAAAAAATGTGTGATAAACATACATCACAGTTAATATGGAAGAGCTAAAATGCTCCTATTATTTTGTAACTGAAGGTTCAGGGTAAGTTTACCACATTACTGCATATCCATTGAATGATACTATTTCCTAATGCTTTATTTTTTTATTGTTTACATTAGAATTATAAGGTTCCAAGGACAGAATATTGTATATATTTATGTGTAATTTATTTACTAAGTTTGGAGATGCCTATGTTTGGTATATCAGGCTGTATAGCATTACTTTATAAGCTGTTGGACCATCTAAAAGTTGGGCATATACCTAAACTCCGGCCTTAGAGGGATGCCTTAGAGACGTTAGGGCTAGATTGGGGTTAGGCGTAAGAAAGTTTTGTAAAGCAGGTAAGTGTTTAGTAAATTATAGTGTCATAAGTACTTTCAACAAAAAATAAAATGATGGGGGTAGAATTGTGATTACAAAAATTTCATTAATTAGTATTATTTACCTGTCTCCAAAGAAAAAAAACGCTTTTTAAAGAAAAAAGTGCAGAGCTGTTTTAGACCCATGATTTAAAAAAAAAAAAAAAAAATTCATTTACCAAACACAATTAGGACAACAACTTTTTAAGAAACTGCTTTTAAAAAAAATTGAGCAACCTAAAACTAAACCTTTATTTTATCTATTGTGGCATCCATCTATTGTTTCCCTATTTTATAATTATTTATTCCCCTTTCTCTCTTACATGGTTTACCAATTATTTAATAGAAATCAAACTCGTAATTTTAATATATTGAACCAAAATTTTGATATATATCAACCACGCTAGACTCAAAATATTCGACCAATTATATGAATTTGATTCTTATAAAAAAATAAAAACTACTTAATTAGTAGAGAAAAATACTACTTAATTATACGTGGGGTTCTTGAAAACATCTCACAACAGGAAAATTTATGACACACAGCAGCCAATAAAAGATAATATGTCCATCAGCTCCTTTAATTATATATATCTCTTTATCTATATCTATATCCACATAGACGCTAGGTGTGGCTCAAGGAGAGCAACCACGTGTTGCTTTGTTTGAACTTCTCTTCCTCTCCTCCTTTCCCTTTCCATGGTTTTAGATCGAAACAAAAGCTTTTACCTACTACCTGTAAGCTTTCATCACATATTCAGTATTTATTTGACGGATAATGTCTCCGAGACTATATTTTGATCGTGATACAAAATTTTACCAGCCAAGAGTCCCAAAAGAAAAGTAAACCAAAGCTTTTACCCCTGTAATTATATGTCTATAATTCTATGTTTTGGTAAATTCGCCTAACCTCTTATCCATCGTCCGACTAGCACCTGACATATTTCAGAACCTCGTGTTTTTACACTTACTAGTAAAAGTGACACATATAAAGACTTTATCATGAGAGATTGAGCTTTGTTCCCTGTGCGAGTTAGTTAGTCTATCGTTTAGTAGTTTGCTTTATTCAAAGGTTTATATTAAAAACCAGAATTAATAAACATATACCTGATTTTTATTAGCACCTTCTGCTCCCTCCAGCTCTGCTCCTTCTAGTTTAAAGACCCAAACCAAGCGCCGCCTTAATATCCAGCCTCCAAGCCCACCCACACTCCATCCTCCACACATCGCACGGCACCGTCTTCGAGCACTTCTCCTTCTGCAACGTGGAGTACTGCAGCCTCAACCGGCAACTGAACATCGGGTGAGCATACGGCAGGCTCTCCTTCGTAGCCAGCCACACCACAACCTCCGCCGGCGGCGACTGCCCTTCCACATAGCTCACCATCCTCTTGTAGGCCTCGTTCACCCACTGCACTTTGTTAGAGCCGTCCGATATAAACCCCGGACACGTGTCTTTATCCAAACTCTTCATTTTCTCCATGTCCGTATACCCTAACCCTCGTACTTCCATGCACGTGTCTGTCACGCTTTCCACCGTCACCCACGACTCCACCGCCGCCACACGAGGCATCACCGCCGCACGATCTGTCCTGGACCGGCTGTCCTCGTTCCTGACGGACCAGTTCATCTTAGGGTTTAGGTTCATCCACGTAGGAATCTCCCTGTTATCCCAAGATCCACTACCTGAAAAACCTAGAGAGTCTGTTTTTTCCGGCATCAGTGGAAGAGTGACGACATCCGTCGGATTATCATCAGTGGAAGATCCACTGTTGATTAATTTTCTAGCGCTGTTATTATTCTTAGGGTCCTTCGCGACCCTAATGTACTTCCTCTTGACTCTCTTGCTTGCAGAAAGGACGGTTTTACCATCCACCGAAGTCGGACCGGAGAAAGAGCCGCCAGCCGCCGGTTTCGGAGCGATCGGCCGGAATCTGAGCATTATCTGGTTGATTATCGTCTTATCCGGAGCACCAGTCTCACCGCCTGCCACGCGCCATCCATCTCCGGCGTCCATCCACCCTCCTCGTACGATGTTCCCCTCCTCTCCCTCGGATGTCTGATCTCTGTCTGTCTGTCTGTCTGTCTCTCTCCTTTCTCTCTCTATCTCTCTCTCTCTCTCGTCTCCGGAGGACAGAAGCGATAATCATAGCAGTAGCGTGGTGGCTGGGTGCGGAACCACCACGTGTCTAGGGCACCACTCCAGCAGTTGTGACTACCCATTGGCGGATTCGTTTGCTTGCAGGGCCCGCCTAAAGTTTGGCGTATCTAGGAAGAATTTTTATATATAAAACATATAAGATGTATATATGATTTTTGAGCAATGTAAGAAGGCTAAATTTGGATATTAAATTTTAAAAATTAACGAACATGTAAATTGATGATTGATTTATTACTTAAACGTTGAAAGATGTGCTCATTTCTATTGATGATACAACTTTTAGTTTACAATTTTAATGTTTAAATTTAGTATCTCTAACATTACTTATATTATTTTATGTGTCGTGATAAGCGTTGACGACGTAATTGGACCAATTGGTATGTCTTATGTATAAGCTATACTAAAAACAAATACACAAGTTAACACATCGGTAGTGTTACCAACACATTTATTTTATTCTCATATAACCTTTTTAATTATTTACAGTAAAATCTAATAAATTAAAGAAGATTAATATAAAGAAAGTTGTTTCATCATAAAATTAAGTGACAAATTAAGAGTAGTCTAATTTTTTGTAAGTGCTTGCATGTTTGGTCATACGTGGTGAATTTTAAAGTTTAATAGGTGGACAACATAAAAAGTGTGGCATAGAGCACGTGTGGCAGTTAAGGTTTACATGTGAGCAAACTTACTCTGATACCGTGAAGAAAATTGAGGGTTTCACTATAAAATCAGTTGGTAATATAAGATGTACCCAGCTTCTCATAAGTCCTTGCATAATTTGGTCATTCACCAATGTATGATTGTGTTCTCACATTATCAACAACAAACAAAAAGTACAATGGTGTTTGAGAGGTAAAAAATGAGTGTTTCAACAATCCTGCTCTTGTATGTAATAATATAAAATATACACTAAGTTTGTTGGTATATAACAAGAATGACTTACATAAAATAGATTTACTACTATTATAACTTCTTGATCCGAATCATATCATATGTAATTTTATTTGTTCATACAAGAAATTATTCGATAATCACGATAAATATGTTTTATACAAGTTGTTCTCGTGCATTAAAAGTATAATTGAGTTCCATGTTATGGAGTTCTGAGTTGGACCCACATGTTGGCCAACCAGGCATCTGAGGGTGGGAAGCACTCGCACAAAAAGGAGGGACACGTGGAGTTACGTTAGGGGGAAAGTATCATGTTTTCCAACCGAAGTGGAAATTGAAGTTTCCTACATTGTGATTGAGAACGTTCGAGAATGTCCACACGTGTACCAACGAGATTAGCCAAAACAAGTAATATGGTCTTTCAGCACAGTTGAGGAATGTGGGTGGCACGGTGGCCCGGAAGTGCGTGACGTTTGCGGACCAAGGTGTTGGTTTGACGGTACGACTTGATTGGAGGAGTGGTCGGACTGGACCACCTGACTTTTCCTGCAATTCATGAGCGCATCGACGCGTGGATTGTTTCGAGAGATGACAGTCAGACAAACGCATCACCTTTTGTAAGCCAATTATATATACTAGCAGATGAGCACACACTCTGTATATGTGAACAATTTTATTTAATTTTTTAATTTTTTATTAAGGAATTTAATTAGTTTTTAAAATTTTAAAAAGCGTATATTTTATATTAATATTACATAATTATTGTTTTATCCTCTTTATGTAAATATTGTGTATCAAAAGTGAGGGTAAAATAAGAAAAAATAGGGATATAATTGTCATTTTCTCAAAAAATACAAAATTACTATTTTACCCTCCTTATGTAAGTATTGTGTGTCAAAAGTGAGGGCAAAATAGGAAAAAAGGGGGGCAAAAGATGCAAAATCAGTATTTTGCCCTTCTTGTGCAAGTATTGTGTATCAAAAGTAAGGGTAAAATTGAAAAAAAAAAAGTGGCAAAAAGTTGACAAGGAGGGTTCTGTTGTTGAAAAATATAGATAAAAAGCTTACACTTGTCTTTGTTTTATCAACACTAGCCAATGAGCACACACTTTGTGTTTGTGAATAATTTCATTTTATTTTTTGTTTTTTTTTATTTATTAAGGAGTGTGATTAGTTTTTAAAATTTTAAAAAGTGCATATTTTATCTTAATATTACATAATTATTGTTTTGTCTTCCTTATGTAAATATTGTGTATCAAAAGTGAGGGTAAAATAGGAAAAATAGGGATATGATTGTCATTTTCTCAAAAGATACAAAATTACTGTTTTGCCCTCTTTGTGCAAGTATTTTGTATCGAAAGTGAGGGCAAAATTGAAAAAAAAAATTTACAAGGAGGGTTCTTTTAATAATAGTGTGTGTGTGTGTGTGTATTTTAGTTCGAACTTGGAAGTGCTTAATTAAGAAATGGGAGATTTTAAGATGTCACCTATTGTATAATTTTAGGTGTTTAATATGTGACTCTAATGAGATTGGGTGTAGCCTAAATATCAAGAGTTTTACACTTTTGTAAGAGTCAAATAGGTGTTTTACGAATGACGAATGACACATGTTGGCTTAAGTTTTCGACAAATGTAGGTCAAAATTAGCAAGTGCCTACTCAGTGTTTGATGAAATGGTCTAATAAAATTTTTTGATTTATATCATGACCTATTATTAAAGAATTATGACTCCACCCTGAGTGGTGTACATATTTCATCGTTAAAAAAAATTGAAGTTTTAACGAAACATTATCGGTATTGTTCACTTTTAATGAAAAATCACATTTTTACCTTTATTTGGTACTATTCACTACACCTTCATTTATCGTTTTTCATTAAATTTTTTTTTTTTTTTTAATTTCTCGTTAGTTTTCCTAAAAAAGTTTAGAAAGTAATTTTGGACACCGATATTCTCCTCATGCAAAACCTTGGTATCTTTGACTTTTGTGTTGAACGAAGCGAAGAAGAACGGAAGAATAGAACTAAATGCGAACCAAATGTAGACAGACATGTGCATAAATTAGGGACCATTATTTTACTTGTACGAATTAAACAGAGGTGCACAGCACTTGAGATTCATAATTTGTAGGGAACAAATGTTGCCACGTGGGTCTCTGACAGATAAGGGTCATGAGTCAGCCTCAATCAGTAATCTCATGCCTGTGATTCGCCACCAATCCATCTCACATCTCATCCTGATTCCTCACGTCTTCTAGAATTTAATATTGGATTGGGCTTTATGGAGACTATGGGCCTGATAGAGTTGGGCTACACTTTAGCATCTTTCTTAATAGAGAGCCCATTTATGGACCTTTCCGAAAACAGCTGCTCCACTAGCTATTAGCTAACTAGAACATCAAATTAAAGCCTGGTTTGGTACTGAGTTGATTTTGAAAAAAACTGGTATAAAAAAAAGTTGGGAGTTATTTTTGTGTTTGGTAAAGCTTCAACTTTTTTTACGGTTTTGGGTGAAAAAAAGCCAAAAACAAGAAGCTGCAAAACCAAGCTTTGAAAAATCGATTTTTTTTCACATCTGTTTTACATAAAAGTTTACCAGACACTATACACTTTTTTTTTTTTTCTTTTTTTTCAAAAGCACTTTTACAAAAAAGTTTACCAAACACTCTACTGCTTTATTTCACAGCTATTTATTCTCACAACACAGTAGAAGCAGTTTTTTTTTCAAAGCACAACAATACTAAACCAACCCTAAGTGCCCGAATCTCTCTCGCTCGAACAATCTGGATTTTTTGGTCCTTATGCACCAAAGAGTAAGGTCAGGATAGGATCCAAAATTAGAAATGACGAATCCTTCAACCAATAATGCATTACCACGTAGAGAAAACACTCACACAAAACAATACATTATTAGATCTAGACGCTATGTGGCGGTGAACCAATTCTATACAAGTCTTTCGCCCCACTTTTGGTATTATTTGTTGCTTGGGCGTTGCACCCAAAAAAAATAAAAAATAAAAAAATATTTGTCTTCAATCTAAAAAATGGAACAATATATACTTATACATATGAAGACTAACTGTAATCCAACGAGTAGAATTTGGCACTTGAAGAAAATTTAATCAAAATTCACATGCCCAAGTAAGGAAAAAAAAAAAAAATTAAATATTCCTTGCGTATGGAGTAGCTTATTCTCTATTAAAACGACACTCCTAGGGTCACTCCATCACCAATTTCGGATTCGAGCCAATTTGACATGGAAAGAAAAGAAAGCCTTTGATTACAATGTGAAAAAAAAAAATTATTTCCAAAACAGGTCCTCCCAGAAGCAAAACATTGAAAGAAACCGAAGTAAGGCGGCCTAGTTGACAACGTCGAGAACCAGCTTGCGGGACTTAAGAACTGACCACTTCAAGCGCCGGTAGTATGCAGCTTGAAGTAGCGCCAGAGAGAGAACAAAGATCCATTTGAATCCCATCTGCATTTTCAAGGCTCATCAGTGTCAGGATTTAATTAGTTTCGGCTTTCAGCAATGTCAAAAGGGTAATTGCAAAATGAAACTTACGAGTTTCCTCTCTTCCATTTCTGGTTCTGCGGCCCATGTCAAGAATGACACAACATCCTTCCCCATCTGCAACATAGCAATATTCGATTAGTTTGAGCAACCATTCAGAAATAAGATTTGCACGGAATATATACAGATACTTTAACCATAAAGCAACCTGAGCCTCAGTTGCAGGAGTACCATCTTCGTACTCAACAGCACCATCATTAAGCATTTTAGGCATAGCAATTGCTCCCCCAGGAAAGTACGGATTATAGTGCAGGCCATCTCGGATCTACAAAGACCAGATAACATTTTGCAGTTGATAAGAATTAGAGGACATCACCTCCATTTCACAGAACCACAAATACAGCGAACTCCATAAATAAACACAATTCTCAGTAGGGTGGAACTAAACACCAGATTGATGTTCACCATTCAAATCTAATCTAATCTAATTACAACACTGATTGATGCAAACACCAGACACTCAAAGCTAAACAACAAATTAGCAACGACAACAGCACAACACAACAGGGACCAGAGGCCCAACAAACATATGAAATGTTATTTCCATTTTAGTCATAACTCAGAAATAGATGGGGTATTAGTTGGCTTCGTAAATGGCCATATATACATTTTGCAATAGTTCTACAAAATCAGGATAGTGCAAATTCATATAAACATGTAAGCCTTCTTTCTTTTTCACAACATCGACAAATTTTTTTCAGAATAAATTTAAGAATAGAAGTTACCTGAACACCAGCTGGAGGATCACGGTAACCAGTGAGAAGGGCAAATACATAATTCTGACCATTGTGACGAGCCTGCAAGGATATGGGTGAGATATTTCCACGGGAAATACAAAAATACAAATCAATAAGAATTTATTAGCAGAAGACTGAGAGCACCTTTGTAATAAGACTCAAATCAGGAGGATATGCTCCACCATTAGCAAACCTAGCAGCCTGCTCATTTGCATATGGCTGCGGGAATCGATCACTAAGTTTACCAGGGCGAGTAAACAACTCACCCTCGTCGTTCGGCCCATCAGTTACCTCAATCTCAGCTGCCATAGCCTTTGTCTCCTCTTCGGTATAAGCAACACCCACCAAATCACGGTAGGATATTAAAGACATGGAATGGCAGGATGCACAGACTTGTGTGTAAACCTGATGACCACGACGAATCCTGCAAGTAGAAAAATTGAACTTCAACCATCAACAACCCACATCATGATATAACATTTCAGATACAATAAATATGGGATTCTTGCTTGAAGGGTACCAGAGTGTAGGGGAAAATCTGAAGTCTAGAGATATAAACCAAAACATTCGGCAAAAAACAACGGAGCTCAAAATATTATAAGACTTGACACCTTTAAGCTTCGGTTGCATCAAGTAAAAAACAACTTCTATTCACAAGAAATAAATAATCAAAAAGACACACACACACACACACACACACACGTCATAGATTCTGTTTTAACTCACGAAGCATGATCATATGAGCTAAGGATTCCTGCGTGAGGCCAGGGGTAGTTTGGGCTCTCTAATCCGTGCTCAGCCTCATCCGCAGATGCAACAGTTGCAAAACTTAACAGTCCTGAAACACCTGCTCCAAGGAGCGCAAGTGCTCTGAGGGACCTTGCCCCAGCAGAGCCAGCATCATCTTTCTTATGTATTAGGGAAGCCAATAATGGAGAGGCCTGCAATTAAGTGGCATACAACAACCATTATTATGCTAATCTAGAACCAAGATTTACGATATTTCCACAAGAAAAAAGGTAAAGAGAGACTTAAGTTAGATACGGAGTTACTAACATATATGATTGATTTCCTTCTTTTCAAAAAATTTAAATGGCAAAATGCAAATGGCATTTACTCTAAAAAGCATACATAACTCACAAATGAAAGTTAAACTAACATAAGCCTAACAATTTCCGGATGCTACCATAAATTTCAAATTAAGTAATGTAGAGCGTCACGACTGGAAACGTTGAATGCCGAACAAAACAAAAAGGACAACGAGGTGGGACGAAGATCTTACAGTACAATGAGACTGAAGCTTCCTCCTCAATAACTGGTGGATCGCTCCTCCAGCCATTTCAGTCAATATTCCTGTCAATTACCGAAATCCCAAAACATAAATAAAATTGCACAACTCATTTGCTGAAATTAAACCTCCAATTGAAAAATGGAACTGCGCACACTAACAAAATAACGATAACAAAATAACTGCAACAAAACGAAATATAATTCTACAACAATTCAAAGAATACATAATTTAAAAAAAAAATACGGAAACAAAGCACTGTAAGATCAATCATCGAAACAGAATCGCGGGTACCATTTTTCGATTGGAACAAACATAAAGTTCAAATTTTGACCGCAGTAATAGTTGAAATTTGGATTGGAACGATCACAGATAAACAGACACGAACCCTAAGTCGAAAGGGGAGCACAGATCTGGGGAGGCATCAGAAAGAGAGAGGGAAAAAGAGAGAGAGAGAGGGATTGAATAGGAACTCACAGTGGGAAAGCGACGTCGTCTGAGATAGAACTGTCAAGGAGCTGCCGGAGCTCGGAGATCGAAATGAAGGAGGAGAAGCAGCGGCCGAGGAGGAGGACCTTAAGAACTGTTCCTTCGTTCGTTGTATGCGAGAGAAAATGTGGAACTACGCCTTTTACCACACGCCCCTCTCTCTCTCTCTCTCTCTCTCTCTCTCTCTCTCACCTCTTCGTTGTATCCTGATAGAATCGTGGGCCAATGGTGGGCTGAATAGCCCATGTGTGGGACCCAGCGGCTTCTGTTTATGGGCCGGGCTTTTACGGTAATCCACGGTTTCCTGTGTTTTCGGCCGCAAGCCATGGTTTCTTTTGAGGGACCGTCGTTTTCGAATTATAATTCATGGTTTGCGATTGTGAATCTGTGATGAACAAAATAATACAATTAATTTTAAGAAAAAACTGAAATTAAAAATTTTCAAATATTGGGTTTAAAAGTTGGACTGGACCTATGCCTAAGGCACAGAGAGGGCTTATTATGGATGGTGCTGTTAGGGCCCATGAACGTTGCTAGTAAGGAGTCGAATATGGTGTCGACCAATCATGAGAAGAGAAAAACTTGTGTAGAGGCACTTAGATCTGTTAGTTGGGTCATACTTCGGAGGATGTATTTAAGTGGAATTTTGAGAGATTTTAATTTTTTTAATGAATCTAGGAGTATTCAATTAAGATTTTAAGTAATTCTCTGAAATTCAATGTATATTCAATAAGGATTTTAATAGGATTTTACGATAGTTTATTAAAATCCTTAGAAATCTAGGTGTATTCAATTAGGATTTTAAAAAAGTTCATAACATTCCAGCTGTATACAATTATAATTTGATTTTATAGAATTTCACGAAGGTGAGGAACAAAATAATATTAATTAAGGGAAGTGTGATTGACATTTCAAAAATCTCATTCTACATTTCTCACAAGTGTATTTTTGTTTCAAATATAGAAAATTTGGAGTGTAGAATAAGATTTTTGGAGTGCCATTAACAATTCCCTTAATAATTTTAAGAAAAACACAAATGCCCTTTTACCACAGTGATAAAAAGGTGTTGAGCTCTTATATGATGGCGTGGATTCAAACTCAATCGGTGGTTAATTTAACAAAATTTATTGTTTGAAAAGAAAAAAAAAATTGACAAAAAACAAAAACTTAAAATTTTCAAATATTGGCTTGAAAGTTGGACTAGAGTTGTACCAATGGTACGGAGTGTCGACCAATAATGAGAAGAGAAAAATTTATGTAGAGATGCTTAAATCTGTTAGTTCGATCATACTTCACCTCAAAATGTGAGAATTTGATTATAAAAAAAAATTAAAAATTTTGAGTTTTAACGATAATGATAAAATAAAAGGTAAAATAAATAGTAATAAGATTAACTTTTTAGTACAAAAATATAATTTTTCGTTAAAAAAAAAAAAAAAAAAAAGCGCAACTAATGTCTTAGAAGTTGGCAACATGACAACATGACATTAAAATTTCTCAAGTCCTGTCTCGGACTGCTTCATCAGAAGATAGTCAGACCGCCTGATGAGATAGTGTCACATGCTCAATTTACTTTTTAGCTAGGTGCCCATTAACTATATATTGACATGTAAATAGTCGAAAGAGAAACGTCTTTCGTACATGAATTTTTTCTATAGTAACTTATGTTTGTTTCAAGAGTAATGGTAGATAAATTTTTTAAACCAAAAATTTAAAAGGAGTTTTAACGAAGTACTAATCGGTTCACTTTTAACGAAAAATCATATTTTTACTTTTTTCTGGTACTATTCACTATACATTTATTTGTTATTTTTTATTAAAACTAAAGTTTTTTGAACTTTTCGTTAGTTTTTTAGGTTTTAAATTGTATTACGTTTCACCAATAAAAAAGTAAGTACGTTATCAACAATTACATACTAATCCAATCATCAGAAATCACGGCATATAATTTATAAAATTATATTTAAAATTTTGTGTCCCTACGTTACCCTTATATATTAAGACAAATAAATAAACACTGAATATCAGAAAATAATAAATAAATAATTAAATTGTTTGTTCATCAGGTATCATCCTATAAAATGTTCCCAGCTGTGAGCTGTGAGAGTGAGTCCACACAACACCACCACCAACGCCAAACAGTATCTTTTCCCTCCAATCGGATTTACGCTGCCAAATTCCGCGCTCTTATCCCTCCCACTCCCCCCTCACTCCCCCTCTCTCTCTCCCTGTGAATTTTTCAAATCCCAACCTCCGCCATGGAGCTCACTCCTCCGCCCCACCGTTGCATTTGGTCCTCGCCGATTCGTTCGTCCTCCTCCTCGTACCGACCTCTCCTCGTTTCAATTTCGCCTCGGAACACCAAGCTCCTTAGGTCCGTACCTTCTTTTGGATCGATTCGCCGGAGAAATCTGTGCTCCGCCTCCAGCTCCGAGACGTTGGTTGGGTCGCGGAAGGAGGGCGGCGGCAAGCAGAGTCAGGCGGTGAGCAAAAAAGACGAGGAGGAAGACTTGAAATCTTGGATGCACAAGAACGGGCTGCCTCCTTGCAAGGTCGTGCTCAAAGACAAACCTTCCTACGACGAGAAGCTCCGGCCCATTCATTACGTAGCTGCCAGCGAAGATCTTGAGGTGATGAGACTCTGAATTTTCAATTTCTGTAATGTAATTCATAAAGTTCATTGGGTTTTGTTCTTTGAGTTTATCTTGGCGATGGGTTTTGATTTTTATGTTCTTTGAATTGTTGTGATTACTAGGTTGGTGATGTCGCATTTTCGGTGCCGGATTCTTTAGTTGTAACTCTCAAGAGAGTGTTGGGGAACGAAACAATTGGTAATGTTCATTGTCTATTGTTCGATTTCTCGACTTTTCTAATGCATGTTCATAGCCAATGGGATATGGGGGGCATACATTAATGTGCAGGATGCTTGTCTTATTGTGCAGCTGAATTATTAACTACGAACAAATTATCGGAATTGGCATGCTTGGCATTGTATCTGATGTACGAGAAGAAACAAGGAAAGAAGTCATTTTGGTATCCCTATATAAGAGAGCTCGATCGTCAGCGAGGGAGGGGTCAATTGGCGGTGGAATCACCCCTTTTATGGTCAGAAGCTGAGCTGGCTTATCTTACAGGCAGCCCCACAAAGGTATCTTATGCTACGATCGCTGTACATGCAAGTTTAAGTAAGTTATGGAATTCTTCAGTATTTCAAAATGTTCTTACCCTATATTCTTGTGGTGATGAATCAGGCTGACGTTCGTGCAAGGGCCGAAGGAATTAAAAGAGAATATAATGAGCTTGACACTGTCTGGTTTATGGCTGGTTCCCTATTTCAGGTATTACTCAAGTGTATTTGATTGGCACTGGTGTTGTAGCCAATGATATGGACTTAAATTTTCTTCATTTTGCAGCAATACCCATATGATATTCCTACGGAGGCCTTCCCATTTGAGATATTCAAACAAGCTTTTGTTGCAGTTCAGTCTTGTGTAGTGCATTTGCAGGTAAGTTCTTCATTCTTTCGTCAATATATTTTCTTGTTACAATTAACCAACGCAAGATAAGAAAAGGGTAAAACGAGTTTCTTAAGTGCTCCACGTCGCCTCTTTGTGCCATGTATTTCTAAATCAAGCCATCTGGATTTCTTACATTTGTTTCCCTTTCCGACGCAGAAAGTTAGTTTGGCTCAAAGATTTGCTTTGGTTCCTCTTGGGCCCCCATTGTTAGCTTACGGAAGCAACTGTAGAGCAATGTTGACAGCTGTTGATGGTGCTGTTCAACTAGTGGTCGATCGGCCATATAAGGCAGGGGAGTCTATTGTTGTGTGGTATGTTATTTGATTTTTCAAGATTTTGTATCCATAGCGTGGCCTTATCATGTTACTTCAGTGTAGAAATCATAAAAATGTAATTTTGTAAAATATTATAGGTGTGGACCACAGCCTAATTCAAAGTTGCTTATAAACTATGGTTTTGTTGATGAAGATAATTCTTATGATCGTTTGGTGGTTGAGGTAAATTCTGGACAATTTCATAAGCTTGCAGGTTCTGTTCATGTCAAATGTGTATGTGTTTGAAATATCCCATATTTCCTATGTGTTCCAGGCAGCTTTGAACACTGAGGATCCACAATATCAAGATAAAAGAATGGTTGCTCAAAGAAATGGAAAATTATCAGTACAAACTTTTCAGGTGTGTACTTAAAACTATTTCCCTTAAGAAAGTTATAACACAATTTTCTACATTAGTCTTTAATCTGCCTCATTGCTTTCAGGTATATGTGGGAAAGGAAAAGGAAACGGTCTTCGATATGCTTCCCTATCTGCGACTGGGCTATGTTTCAGATCCTTCAGAGATGCAGTCTGTTATCTCCTCTCAAGGTCCAATTTGTCCAGTAAGTTAACTTTTATGTTAAGAGCAAAGTGATTTTCATCAGTAGAATTTGATAGCACTACTCCATAAGAGACTGGAACGTAGAACATTTGGGGACCTTGTTAAGGTTTAATAAACATGCTAAAGGTTGTTATCGTCAAGTTATCTGGCACGTGGTTATTGATATATACTATGCCTATGATTGTATGGAATTCAAAATTATTCGATTAACTGGTGAATATGTCTCTTGTCTTTAATGAAGCCAAAAAATTAATGGTGATAAATGACATAGACTGCTGGATGTTATAAACTTAATAGGTGAGTCCTTGTATGGAACGAGCGGTGCTGGACCAACTTGCTGATTATTTTAGAACACGGCTGGCTGGCTATCCAACTACATTGAGTGAAGATGATTCTTTGGTAATCTTGGCTCTGTCAAATTAGTAGTGGTACCAGGTTTTTGCTAGCTGAATGCAAATTAATATTCTCACTCTTGTGCAGTTGGCAGATGCTAATTTGAATCCGAAGAAGCGAGTTGCTACTCAGCTTGTTAGGTTAGAAAAGAAAATGCTCCATGCATGCCTGAAGGTGGTGGTTGATTTGATAGGCCAGTTACCAGACGACACTGTATCACCATGCCCAGCTCCTTATGCCCCCTTGTTGAAATAAAAAGGTGCGCGTGTTGCTTATTGTTTCAAATGGGAGAATGTAATCCAGTTAAGCTGAAGGAATTTTATGAATCGTTGGGATACAGGAAAGAAAGAGTGCGTAGGAATGAATGTCACTCAGAATCTTAAAAGCAGTGGTATTTTTTACAAATATCTGAAAAATGAATGGCTTTGGTTAAATTATGTTGGAATGAACAATATGAATCTGCAACCGAATGTGAGGAACCGAAAAAACTAAATCTTTTGTTAAGAGTTGTATGTTTCTGCTACATAACATATGATGTCTTGTTGTCTTCAGAACCAATCATTATTTGTGTTATTTCCCTTGATAAGATTTTACCGCGTTAGTCCGTTTGCATCTGTTGTCGTTGAGGAATTTCTGGATCTTTAATGGTAATTTCTGATTGTTAACAGAATAGAAAAGTTTCATAGTTGAACGGATGCATCCTACTGAGTTCCCTTCCAAAACTATTTATCTTTGCAGATGGATCGAAGGAAGCGGGCAACGCATAGGGCACAACCAAGGAGAACTGGAATATGTCTGGCTCCATCAGGCATCAAAGAGGAGAGAATCAGGCATTCTTTTTCAGTAACATGTAAATTCCTTCCCACTCGTTTGTCAACATACAATATGACCCGTCCCGACACTCTCCATCGTATATTCTCCCGAATTCATTTTCTTCCTCCCTCGGATGAATGGGGTGCCGGAAAAGAGAAACGAAAGGAAACGAAAATGATACGAAGGATGAATGCCTTGATGATTTTGGTAGCTAATGTAATCTTTGGTCGTTCTCTGTAAATGTGAATCAGGACGACCAGACTCTTAATCCATTTGTGTTCAATGTACATTACTCTGTTCAGAATACGCATAACCTTCTCGTAGAAGCTGACTCTGCCTCCGCCATTTTACTCGAATATCTGGGTTGATTGTCGAAAAACAATAAAAATCGTCGGTTGTAGCTCATGCATCAAAACTTGATTGTTGAGTTCTTGCAAAATCGTTTATGGATGATCAAAAGAAAAGCTCATGTAAAGCATGTTCAAAACTGGTTCTAATACTAGACAGTAGCCAGAGATATCTACTTCTAATCCGCGAGAAAATGTACTGAAAATTTTCCATCTCTTTGCAAAATAAGGATCCGAAAAAACAATTCAGTGCTGCAGCATGTTTGTTCATCGCCATTCTCAACTTCAAGTCGATATGTTGGGTGAACCTGCTTAATTCATATGTTAAACTTCTGAGGAACGCTATCATAATCATCGAAGTCAAATCTCTGCCGCTCTCTTCCAGTCTGAACATATAAGCAGGTATTAGTTTGATTGACGAACTAGCTAGTTCAGTAACACTAGGGGGGCAATTCACTCACCTTTGATAGGAACAAAGGATCAGTTGAGATGTTTTCATCAATAGCGGTCAGCTTCCTTGACAGAGCCATTATCCTGGATGAAGAGGAGGGGAACCGCATTTAAAATGGAAAAAAGCACACCCTCTCCCGCAGACAAAAGAAAAGAACAATGCAAAATTTAATTGCCATTCGGACAATTTACCTCTGTATTGATGAGTCAATGTGTTCAATCATGTGACAGGTTTTATATTGCTCAGGATCCTCAAGAAATCTAACCATTCCATCCTTCTGGTTGATTGTTGCGAATATCTGACCATCTTCAATCTATACTTTGGTAAAAGAGAACATTAGGGTTCAATACAAAAGATTTGTAATACCGATACTTTATTGCTGCTAATTTTGATTTACCATTTGTAGCACATGCATTTCTGCTTCCTTAGCGCTGTTTAGTTGAACGCTGTTGGCTATATCTTGAAGGGAAAGAGTCAAGTATGTCTGCGTCAGTCTCTGAATGTTTCGCTTATACTGGGAAGATAATACCTGCTTCACCAGTCCAAGATTGTTGTCCTAGAGAAAAACACAATTCGAAAGCCAAATTAAGATGGTTGAAGAATCCAAGTCAGAGACTCGTAGGTTACTGAGGAATCATGTTGCATCCACTTTTTCTTTGACACCATGAATATGAAATACAAATAAAGGAAAAACAACGGATGAAAACATTAAAAGAACTCACATTTTCATACTTTTCCCTGTGTCTGTCAACCATTGCCTCCAAATGTACAATTTTTCCGCTGACATAGCAATGCGCCAATTCAATGTAGGGCTGCTCAAAAGGGAGTTAAAAATCAAATAAAGTCATCGGAGCTGGTAAGTTTAAATGCTAGGCCTACTATGGAATGCCTGATTATATCAGGATTCAAATAAAGCAATCCATTAAAGAAAATACATGCAGCAAAGAGCAGCGCTCAACTTGGCATACCTGACAATAGTTCTTTAGATTCCTCTGACATACTGAGGAGGTGTATTTAGGGAGACTGGTACAGAACTATCACCATGAAAAGAACAATCATCAACTTATCCTCATACAAATTTACAGCACAAACAGATGAATAATCAAGTCAAAACCGAGTCAAATTAAATGTCAAGGTAGATGAATCTATAAGAAGAAAGGCATACATTCCAATTGTGAATGAGTGAAACCAATATATGCTTTTTGTACGCTTCAACAGCTATTGCATTAAAAGAAGTCATTGGTGATGTTACAACCTGGAAAATACGATTTGCGATTAGAATGGACAAGTAAATCAAACTTCATAAAGAACATAATTTGAAGAGTATAAGAAGGTAAACTGAATATAGATCACAGACATTGTGAAGAAGCTCCAATGCTTTGCGAAAACGCTTTTGTCCGATGCATATCATCCCCCTACAATGAGGTCAAAAGTGAAATAGTGTCAGAAATTTCCTTAGCAACACAAAACGCCCCATAGATTAAAGAATTAAGAAGTGAAACATGTCAAATATGTCAAACGAAGCAAGGACACTTCCAAGAAGAAAATGAAAGTAATTTCCTCAATAATTAAAAACAGCTAACTCAAGTGAAAGCAAACTGAAACAAAGATAACACTGTGTTGAAAGAGCAACTGACCCGTAATAGCAATAGAGAAAAAGATCCCTTGGCTGATCAACCTCAAATATGTCATCATCTAAAACGGAATATCCAACTTTATAGGATTTTGACAACAAACAAAGCAGAAGAAGCTCTGGATGCAAAGAAGTCAAATGTTCTGAGGAGGTCTGAATTTTCCGAATAGCTGTCAGCATCGGTGCCACTCCCCGCAGTGGTGCTTCAAGAAGCATAACATGATCTTTGAACCTCTTGCAAACAGATATGACTGCAAACCAAACAAATCCACAGAAAGAGAAATGAAATATGCAGTTTAATGTTTACGCAAATTAAATAAAAGAGTAAAGATGAATACATTTATCAGGTTGCAAACGAATCTGCTCCGCGACACAGGAATTGATAAATCTAGCAATGGGCAGGACCAACGCACTCGCCTGCTCTTTTGAAATCGAACCAGATGAGCATGCCTCCCTGCCACCACATTCACAAACCCATGATACAGTCAAATTTCCACCAAATTTTCAAATGCTGGTAACTAGCAACCAGGCAGAATCTTAAAAAAATGAACCGCACACTATACATGTTCTCGACAATCAAATTTGTGAACACAATTGCAATTTTCAAGCACTGCCAGAATTCTTAATGCAAATTATGTAAAATCAGATCAAAAGATGTGTCTGAATTCTTTTACTCGATCACCAAACAGTAGATTAGGGCACACAATTATCGTTCCCACATCCCCCAATAATCAAACCCTAACACATTGCGAACGACGCCATCTGACTACACCCTAGGGCATTCAATACTGAAAACAAAATACACACACAAAATTCGAAAACGAGGAGTGTTAGAGTGACGAAGAGGCTCACAGGATGTAGAGGTATCCGAGAGAGTGCGTGGCGGGGTCGAGCTGGTCGAGAACGGGAAGCAACCGAGTCGACTCGGCGTAGAGCGACTCCTGCGCTTGCTTCAGAAGGACGTGGAGGTGCGAGATGTCACCGGAGCTCGACAGCCCTTGGATGTTCATCACCAGAGATTGTATGGCTTCCATGGCTTCCGGTCAAGTTTCCGATTTCTGAGAATCCGGAAGCGGAAACGAGAGAGAAAGCTTCGGGAGCTCGCTCTGGTTTTTGGTTGTGCGTGTTGTATGCGAGTTAAAAACACGATCAACTAAGCACATTAAAATGGGCTATAGGCCCAGTAAAGAAAACAATGTCCATTTGTTGGGCCCATAGTAAAAGTTGGCCCAAAGTGAAGGATCTCTCTCTCTCGCTGGATCTTTCTCTCTCGCCCTCGCTTCTCTTTCTCACTCCCAAATTGGTCGACGCCATTGACAACCAGAGAAATCAAGTTCGAGCTTTTCTTCTCTTCTTGCTGTTTGAGGACAAATACCGGAGAGAGAGAGAGATGGCGGACTATCACTTTGTGTACAAGGACGTGGAGGGAGCATCGACCCAGTGGGACGACATACAGAGAAAGCTAGGGAACCTTCCGCCGAAGCCACCGCCGTTCAAGCCGCCGAAGTTCACACCAGCTCAGGACGAAGCTTCCCTTCCCAAAGACAAGTCCTGGATCGATGAAAAATCCGAGCAGGACCTCGAAGACCTCGAGGACAATCCCGATCTCGACGACGATCGCTTCCTCGAAGAATACAGGTCCTTACAGTTCAATTTTTACCGAATTACTCTTTATTTACTTGAAAATGAAACCGTAAATGTGAAAAATTGGCGGTTTGGACAGGAAGAAGAGGCTGGCGGAGCTGAGAGAAGCAGCCAAAGTTGCGAGGTTCGGATCGGTGGTGCCGATTTCGGGATCGGATTTCGTGCGGGAGGTGTCGCAGGCGCCGCCGGATGTGTGGGTGGTGGTGATTCTGTACAAAGAAGGAATCCCCGAGTGCGGGGTTTTGATGCAGTGTTTGGAAGATTTGGCGACGAAATATCCGGCAACGAAATTCGTCAAGATAATATCGACGGACTGCATTCCGAACTACCCTGATCGGAATGTTCCGACTGTTTTAGTGTACAACAGTGGGAATGTCAAAGCTAATTACGTCGGCTTGCAGAGCTTCGGCCGCAGATGCACTCCTGAAGGTATTTCATTTATGCTTTATTTATACAAAGCGATAATTATTTAAAACTAATCTAAACTGCGGGAAGAGGATTCGGACTCAATTTCATAGGGAAACAAATTCGCTCCAGCTAATGTAGTTACACTATGTCTGCAATGAAATTTTAAGCTTTTTAGTTAACATATGGTTCAGAAGTGCTTTTCAAATCTTAAAGCGGTTTTGGTGTTTTGTGGAAACGAAAATCTATTTCATCAAAAGCGCTTTCAGTCATTCTAAAAACACTTCCAAACGAGCCATCATAGGTTATGTAGAACACAAAATATTGTGGGAAGTGGATTCAAGTTAACATGGACTATGAGGAAGTGGAGTTTTTCGTTTTGATAAATCTATTTCATCAAAAGTGCTTTCAGTCATCTTAATGCGAGCCACTTAAAACTCTTTTGAATAAATCTGTCTGTGCTCTGCTGAAATATCAGGTGTGGCATTACTTCTGTGCCAAACAGATCCTGTACTTAATGATGGCCTGAGCGGAAATGATCGGTCGAGGCAAGCTGTGATCGACGGAGTTCGCAAGAGGTTTATAGAGAAGGTTGTAACAGAGCATGAAGACGTTGACGATGGATCCTCGAGCGATTAGAACATGGGTAACTATATTTTGAGTTTCTGTAATAGTTTGGGTTTAGAACTTTTGCACTCGTTTCTGTAAGAGTTTGAGTTTAGATTGGAATCAGATGATTTGTTTTTTCGTCTTTCTTGTTCTTGTACGGTAGTATTGGTTTCTCCTTCGCGTTAAGCACAATGCGCATATCGCCATCATCTCGATTTGGAGCATTCCTCGAATCACAGTCGATATTTGAGCTGCTAATCTTCCAAGAACCTAAAAATAAGGGTACGTTTTCATCAAAAACCGAACGAAGAAGCCAGTGGCTCAAGCAATCCACAATCTCTGTGGATCTTAGTTAAAAATCAACAAAATTCACTCTGAAAACAAAAATGCAACACTATCTTGTATCTCCTACAAACACCAACCTGGCCTTTGGCATCGAAAACTTTCCACCGCAGGCCATCAAGATCAATGCGTCTCAGGGCAGCGAGAGCTTTCTGTACGAACATCAAAGTACATATTCCGTTAAACACAAAGTCTCTCTCAGGACATTCCGTTAAGTTACCGTAGGAATTTGATTAATCTGACAAATAGGATTAAAAAGTCAGTTTGAAACCCAAAATGAGAATCGGGGTTTTCTTTCGGTTTGATCTGAAATGCAACACAGGTTATAAATTAGCAAAGTTTATGACATTTTTTTTTTTAAGTCGAATATTACATGTTTACTTACGTAAAATTAACAATTACTTCGTTCCTTGTTTTCAGATTCATGAATTTACGGGTGCTGCTAAACACTTTGTGGTTCTCTAATTCCAAATCTTAGAACTCGTTTTCGTTTTTAAAATAATTAAAAGCCGTTTCAAAGAAAATATTTTTAAATCCAAAAACACATTAGATGCTTTACTTCTTGTAGAAAACATTTCAAGTACCTTTTAAAAATTCACTGATAATTTTATCAAAATTTGATTCCAAAAATATTTTCATCGAAATGACTGAAATAAAAACATATCCAAACAAGTCTTTATTCTTATTCCTTCTCCGCTCAACTTTAATATTATTTGTTGTTTTTACAAAATCAAATATAAAGTATGCGGGAGACTGAAAATAGTACTAAACCAAAATATTTCTAGGATCAAGCATGGTTCGAACCGGTTCAAATTATGGCTACAACCATTCAAGATTCTTTCTGACTGAGCCCGGTTTGGACCGAATTGGTAAATGGGCTTTACAGAATTGGAGATTCAACAAGAATAAGCTCCATGATGGTTGTTGAGAGTCCACCAGAAAGCTTTGAATCTTCAATCAACAATGGCTAGAAGCCTATACCTTTCGAAAAAAAACACCGAAATGTACAACTAATAAACTTGCTGCAAGGGAGATCATACGACTACGAAAACTAGCGCCGTCTACAATTTACACAGGACTCCGAACGCTATGCACGCATGCACGTAGTTTCTGAGGTGCCTCTGTCGACCGTATCATTATCTACCCACGTTTGGTCCCGTTTCGGACGTTTTGAGATCAGTATATCACCATAGGAAACATCTTGCTTCACATTCACATAGCCTTGAGTTTTCAACACCTGCAGAAAAAGAAAAGATAATGACGTGCTGCACAAGGTTTTGCATCGGCATGTTTGGAAGTTGCAATTTCGGTTCATGAATGTGGCTCGTGGACGTAGTTAAACGAAGATTCTAAACCATATCAGAAAGATCGTACCAGTAGCTCGTAAAACAGCCTTGCATTTTCTTTCTTTGTTCTTCCTTTCGAAACCTCCAACAAGTTCACTTCCTCCTTTCCTTGATTTTTACAGTTTGGAAAGTGTGTATGCAAGTACCTTGCGACCATTCTGTACGCACAAAGTTTAACATGTTGAAGAAAAAATTGTACAAGAATGAATAACCCTGACATTTATGCCAAAAAGACTTTCAGGGTGCCAATCCACCATACCTGGTTCTCCCAGACATCCCTCTGCAACGAAAAAAAAAGGGTTTCGAGATTCAGTTAGTGAGAAAAATATACAAGTAGAACCTTAGCGTAATGAAAACAATTTGAGACTCTTACCCAGTTGCGGGTTGACTCCTTCGGATGAATCAATGTCCTGGGGCAACATAGAAATAACGAAGTTAGGAAAAGTAAGGAACAACGAAAGATACAAACTGGTTCAATTCTGGAACCACATGAGAAGCAACATAATAACGTGTAGCGGCATCAACACCCTACTTGCTCGTTGCAGACCTTTAGTTTGGTATGTGCGAGCTTGTTACGTGCGCTAAAGATGTTTAGTACCACAAATAGAAAGGTTCAGCGAGATGGCTTTGCGGTATGCAAACACAATAATTATTACTATACCTCATTCAACAAATTAAAATCATGTTCCTGATCCCTGTCCAGAAATGGTGCTTCTTCTGCATATCCAGATGGGGCAGCTTGCTCCCTGCTGCCCCGGGGTGGCTCCTCTTTCTCTATCCCTCCAAATGTCTCAGGTGTTAAGGTATCCATATCAACAGCGTCAGGGCTCTTTGGAGTCCCAAATGATTTCACTGATTGTGAGCGAAGAACGGGTGTTTCTGGTGCAATTTCTGCTTGCTCTGACCTAACACCACTTGGAGATTCGGGTGCATGTAACTTTTCTGGAGGGGAAAATGGTTCTGCAGGTGCTGTAATCTTTAATTTCTTTTTGCAGAAGAGGGATATAAGTTCTCGCGAAACAGCAGCTGCAAATATATGGTTAGCAACGGTTCCACGAGGCCCATGACTGATGAAACATAAAGTAAATAATGATAGAAAATTACCAGGTACCAATGGCTCCGAGAAATCATGGCAAAGATTTGCAATTCGACTGGCTTTCCAGATAGCAAGGGCAGTTTGAGGAACTTTCTTTCTTTTAGAAACCAAGTCACTTGCATCATTTATGCTTTTCCTGATTACCCTGTGAAATTTTTTGTTACAAGTTTACAATCCACGGTCAACTTATAATCCATTGAAATATAAATAAAGTCCAAAGCATCCTGAACGATTTTGTCAATACACGAAACAGAAACACTTCAACTAACACATTTAAAGGGGAAGTAAACCGTTACGTACTCATTAGGCAGGACTATCATATCATCCATGACACATTTTCTTTTCCTAGAAAATCGAGCAAACTCCTTAGAAGCCGGTGTATGAATAACCATAAACTTTGGTGCACCTGCGTTAGGAGAAATTATTTCGGACAAACTTGTTAAGAATGCGTGAAAGCTTTAATTTCGCATATATTGCAAAGCATAAGATGGAATTTAGAAAAGTGACAGGCCACGCAGAATAACGTCCAATTGTGTATGTTAGGTTGCAAAATTAGCCCTTTACCACAGACGTATACAACTAAGGAATTGACAATGTTGTACCTGCATCGGGGATTTTGACATCAGGAGTTCCATCGCATGAAATGGAGAGAGGATCTCGATCTTCTTGCATAATAATTTGACGTTCTTTACTATCCGGTGAAATCATCTCGGGTAATTTTTTGGGCTCTCCATCGTTATGATTTGCTTGACCAGATGAACAAACAAGTCCTCGAGGTTGCTTTGCCCCATTAAATGTATCAATGTCCATGTACTCTTCTTGAGAAACTGTACAACTCTGCAACTTTTCCATGCCAGCTTCTATGGTGTTTAGATTATGGTCTTGTACTATGTTTGGACATGTCTGACTTTCTGGTTGTACCAACTCTGGTTCCATAACCTCCTCACGATCAATTTGATGATCTTCACTGGATGATCTAAAATGGTGGGAAGGTTCTCTCTCAGTCCCATCGAATGTCTCAAGGTTCAAACCTTCGTGAGACAACCTAAGGTCTTGAAGCTTTTCCCCTGGGTTTGCTTGTCCTCGAATAGCAACTTCAGAAAGTGCTACATTAGTTTCTTGACCTTCACAAGATGGTTTAACTTGTCTTGGAGGTTCGTCCTCAACTCTAAAAGTTGTTTCTAGGTCAGCGCATTCTTCTTGATAGAACATCTTCTCTTGAAACTTCGCCACAACTGCCGCTGACTTGGTTCCACTACTCGATGCTCTTAGCTCCGTGTCAAAGCCCAACCAGTGAGACGAAAGTATACTGAAATAAGACATACTTGTCAAACATAAGATTAAGGGAAAATACTGCAAAACTAATCTAGAATTTGAGCATCCGGAAAGATTGTACATACTCTTTGACTGGGGTGTCACAGGCACCAAATTCCTCGTAATCATGCTGCGCAAACACAAACCCAGTCATATATGCATGTTCGCAATACAAATTAATCAAACCTATGAAAATGCTTATGAGGAAATTTGGAAATCATTAAGAACTAATTGTTACACGAAAATGAACGACTTGAAAAAGAAACATGAATTAGATCAAAGTTTAAAGACGAAGATTGATCAAGTGACGTACTATTTCTGAATAAAATTGTCCTCTTCCATTCCCCTGCGCACTATCTGTTTCACATCATGCTGAATCATGTAAAACTGTACAAATAAGACCAAGTAAAATAGTATTCGAGACCGCAGATTAATACCTTTCAATGTGATTTCTTCATCAGCCACCACATTGCCTCTGTGAATTAAGCGAAAAACACATGTTAAATACGAGTACTAATACAGGAATATCCTCACACAGTTTTATAAGTTACACAGCTTACCCACTGACATCTTCAATTTCAAGGATCCCCAGATCGAAAGCATCAAGTTCAAACCTATCAGGTAGGGTAACAGCGTAATAAGGTGCACGCAGCTTATCTACGCCTGCATTCTTTTTTGTACTGACTACAAATTTGTTGATTTTAACCAGCACTTCACTGCAGTCATCATACAGATATTCAACTTTCTTTGAGTATATTCGAACGACGCCAAGAAGAAGGTAGGCCAGTACCCTGTATGCAACAGCATCCCATTCATCCTGCAAAATTTCATCTGCGGCAACAGAATCCGGTTTTAGGATATTCCAGGCTTAATGCTGAATAACATGAATGATTTTTCCCAACATGAAACCTGATAAACTCGAAGCAAATGTCCTCAACCCTTATGAATGTAACACTTTAAAAGGACATAATCCCATCCGAAAACTACCACTCCGAATAAACATGATCGAGTTGAAATAATACTTTTTACTTAAAATTGTGTAATCTGTTAGTCTTCCAGGTTCTGTTTCAAAATCCTTGCTATCATATCCACTTCCCCTTGCATTACCAAAACCCGAAACGCAAGTAAGACTGTCTAAGAAGCAATTTGCATTTTTCTTTTTGCCAATAAGTGAACCATTCCAACTCTTCTGTATATATGATTTGGTTTCTTCTAGCGAAAGACTTTGCACAAAAGCATTCTAAAATTTATACAATCGACCCCACTTAAAGGGATAAGGCTTCGTTGTTGGAAATTTTTCTGGTAACTTCTGTTTCGAAATTTTCTGTAATTTTTTTTTTGCAATTTCTCCAAACAAAACTTTTCCCAGATGGTTGATAACAGAGGTTAATGGAAAACCCAGAAACCAGGTAACAAAACTGATCAACATCAATGCAAATATGCATAATTAAGCACCAAAATAGGAGAGAAGAGAGAGAGAGAAGACAGGAAACGAACCGACGGAGGCGGAGATGTCGGTCTGGTTGACCTGCGACCTCTTGAGCTTTTTGAAAGAGTAGGCGGCAACCCAAATGCCGCCCAACGGCCCTTTTCTCGACAGAAGACGCTGCGAGTAGAACATGGTCGCCTTTGAAAAACTTCAAGCTTTTCACTCTCTGCGATTGGTTAGTGTACTCGCTTCTCTTCAGAGTCGGAGATAGGAGCAGGAAAAAAAACAGAGGAATGCGGTTATGTCAGCAACCTGCTAACAAATGTATGTACGGGCCACGGAGGGAGGGAGGGAGTTAAAAGACCAGAAACGGTCGACTGGTGGTGTAGTGTGCCTTACAAGTTTCAGACCGAAAGAAAAAAAAACAAACAAATTAGCAAAATCATTTTTATTTTCAAAATTAATGTTAAATTAGTGACAATAAAATATTTAATCACATTTATCAATTTTGGTCATTCGACAGAATAAAAGCGGTTTAACATTTGTATATGTGAATTTGTAAATAGACCAGTCATATTGGTTAGAATAGATGTCTTCGTTTCAAAACGCGCGAATTTAGATTCTTCTTTTTTACGTTTTCGTAATTTGAATTAATTTAAAATAAACTAGTACTTATACAAAAGAATAAAATTAAAATGCCAATTAGTTAGCTGACAACTAATTCCCATATATGGTGGGCAGCCAAATTTGAATGACATACCATTTTTATTACAAATACATAAATGATATTCCTATAAACAAAAATACATAAATGATAAAAAGGAAAGAAATTGGTAGGGTGTAAATTGAATTACCAAATTGAAAACAAAAAATTAAAGGGAAAATATCTGAATTTGGAAATAAAAAGTTAAAAATTTATGCTAAGGAAAAGACAGAAGAACGCTAGGAATGAGGATTCTTTCCAGATCTCACTGTGAGGGTTTCAAAAATCATCTAATTATGTTTTTTTATCGTACATTGTGCAGTCAGCATTCATTATAAATTTTTTTATTTAAAATTGAATATAAATAATATGTGATGAAAACTAATCACATAATATACGATGAACGAATATAAGTAAAAAATTTTCTAAATCCTTACATAAAAAAAAAAAAAAGATTTGGAGATTATCATCATTTGAATGCCAGGACCAAGAAGATATTAAAGATTGTGTCAATTAACCGGCTGTAAAATGCCTAGTCATGCACTACGTGTCATTCCACCATCCAACTTTAACCACCCGACCAATCATTGAAAAACCAAGCCACGCATTTTTTGTGCGCCGACCTCAAATTTCGAAGAGCAAACTTACTAGGTACGACTTACAACAGTGGCTTTCGGTATTAAACGCCCCGTTTGTTTCACCTCCTCGGCTAAGATTATAATATGGTTGCTTAGAGGCCCAAATCCAAGGCTGGAGGCCCAAATCTCAGGCCTCGCTGCGCCCGGCGGGGTTTTTCAAAAATCTAAACCCCTAGAGAGCTCCACCCATGTCGATCTTTCTGATACGCGCGCTCTCATATCGGAACGTCCTTCTCTTCCGTAGCTCCCCGCTGCTCAGTCGCGAGCTCCGTCAATGCAACCCCGAGCCACCGCACAGGGTTCTCTCTCTTCCCGCCCTTTAATTCGTCAGAGAAAGTCGCAATAAAAGTACCTTCTCTCTCTAGCTCTCTCTAAAATGTAACTTCTTCACTCTTTTGATATGATTTTCCAATTTTTCCACGTTTTCAGAAAAAGAAAAGGAAGGTGAATCGGCTGCGAGTACAGTTGAAATTCTGCCAAACATGGGGCCAACGATCAAGGCGAACGCCACCTCACATATGGAGGCGGCGATCGCAGCGTTAACCGCCGAATTAAGCAAACTGCGTACCGGAAGAGCAGCTCCGGGTACACTCTCAGTTCCTCCGGTGCCAAATCACTGTTCATTTACTCAATTTTGGTTCTTACTGTTCTAAGTTGTCTGAAATGTTTATGCAGGAATGCTTGATCACATCATTGCGGAAACCGGCGGTGTGAAGTTGCCCTTGCATCAGATTGCCGCTGTTTCGGTCATTGATTCAAAAACGTTATCAATCAACCCGTTCGATTCAACGGTAATGAAGCAATGCATGCGCGTTTCAGCAACATTTTGTTGTATTTGTGCGTTCTGGCTTGTGATTTTGGTATATCTCAAGTAAATTTTTCTCTCCAATATTTGAATTTGGCTCTATAGATGAAGATTCATATTGGATGTGTCATTATTAAAAGTAGACATCTGTAATGGTATTGGATGTGTCATTATTAAAAGTAGATAATAGATTAAGATTAGTGGGATTGGAGATCATTATGTTGGAGGTCATCATTATGTTGGAGGTCATCATTATGTTGCATTCGGTTCTCCCATATATGTTGCATCTGTAATGGTTTCAGATATGAAATATACATAAAACATTCAATATGGTATCAGAGCGGGCATAATCCTGAGCCAGTTCTGTATATCGAATCTGCTGTGTTTATTTTTCAAAAAACAATGGCAGATGGAAGTATCATTGCTTCTTCATCTGGAAGCACTTCTGAAATGGATATCAATCCAAACCAACGACTCAGTTCAGTATTATTGAATGAGTTTAATTATTTGCCATGGGCAAGGGCTGTTAGTCTTGCTCTCGGTGGAAGATCCAAACTCGGTTTCATCAATGGCAGTCAACCTGCACCAGATGCTTCTTCTCCAGAATATGGAGGGTGGCTATGTAAAGATCAACTGGTCATGTCATGGTTGTTAAATTCTATGGAAAGGAATATTGCTGAAATCTTCAGCTATTCCGAGTCGTCTCTCATCCTTTGGACCACCGTGAAGGAGATGTATGGAAATCAAAACAATGCAGCTCGCATCTTTCAACTCAAGAAGGATATCTCCAACATACAGCAAGAAGGTAAAAGCTTTGTTCAACATCTTGGTTCTTTAAGAAGCATGTGGAATGAGTTAGATGTGTACAGACCTCACACAACTGATCTCTCTTTGCTCCTTAAAAGAACTGAAGAAGATAAAATTTTTCAATTATTGTCTAGCTTGAGCTCAGAATATGAGGATTTGAGAAGTCATATTCTCATGAACTCGGAGCTACCATCCTTCACTAGTATCTGTGCAACTATCCAACGTGAGGAAGTAAGGAGAAAAGTCATGAACAATGGTATAAAAACCAACGTGACAGAAGCTAGGGCTTACCTGACAAATGAAAAAAGATATAAAGGAAAAAACCCTCATTTAAAGTGCCTACATTGTGACAACATCGGGCATGTGAGAGACAAGTGCTGGATCCTACATCCAGAACTCAAACCTGACTTCATGAAGGATAAATCCGCACCAAAGACAAGTCGAGCACACCCTCGTGCCAACACTGCAACATCTTCATCTATCAACAATGTTGATACCTATCAACAGTTCACTGCAAATCCTGCCATCCTTTTAAATGAGTTCGCAGCGTATCTCCAACAAAAGAAGGGAAAAGAGGATGGATCGGTTGATCATGAAGATGGAAGTACTACTGCATTGATGGGCAAATTTGCAGGTTTTTTAGCTGATGCTGATTATGTACCTCAGACAGACTTGAAAGGTATCATAACTGCTTTCCAAACTGCTCTTAAAATAAATGAGTTACATGATTTTTGGGTTGTAGATTCTGGTGCCACAGACCATATGACTAATCAAATGTCAAAGTTACATAGATTTGAGAAACTACATAATCCTTCACATGTATCTGTTGCTAATGGTGAAGGTGCAAGGATTGTAGGAAAGGGAAAAATCCACCTGATATCTGATCAAATAGAGTCTATGGCCCTATATGTCCCATCATTTCCATTTCAACTTCTCTCAGTGGGAAGAATCACAAATTCCTTAAATTGTTTGGCCATTTTTTCACCAAAAACTGTCATTTTTCAGGATTGTATAACCAAGAGGACGATTGGTGAGGGGTTTTACCTTGATGGTCTCTATTACATATCAAAAAGCTCTTCCTGTGGGTTCCATGCCAAGTCAAAGTCCATCCATACCTCCATTCAAGCTTCCACCTTGTGGCACCAACGACTAGCTCATCCATCTCAACCTATCTTATCCACCTTATTTCCTGACTTAGGCAAAGAATCAACCCACTGTGAAACTTGTCATTTGTCAAAGGCAACAAGACTACCTCTAGGGTCTTCGATGTCTAGAGTTTCTCATCTTTTTGAGCTTGTACACTCTGATATATGGGGACCAACAAATGAATCTTTTGATGGTTATAAATATTTCATAACTTTTGTTGATGATTATTCAAGAGCCACCTGGTTATATTTATTAAAATCAAAAAAATGAGGTGATGGAAGTGTTTAAGGACTTTCACAACCTTGTCAAAAATCATTTTTCTTCTCAAATCAAAACCCTAAGGTCTGATAATGGCACAGAATACATGTCTCAAGTCATGACTCAATATTTGAGCAACAATGGCATCATACATCAAACTAGCTGTGTTGGCACACCCCAACAAAATGGTGTTGCCGAGAGAAAAAACCGAGATCTCCTTGAAAAAACTAGGGCATTGATGTTACAAATGAATGTACCAAAACGTTTTTGGTCTCAAAGCGTCATGACAGTAGCTTACCTGATCAACAGATTACCTAGTAGGGTTTTGGGGTTCAAATCCCCAATGGAGATAGTCAAGAACAGAAAGGTGGACTTGTCTCACCTTAAAGTCTTTGGATGCATCTGTTTTGTTCATGTTCAGTCATTACATCGAGACAAACTTGATCCTAGGGCAACTAAATGCATTTTCCTTGGCTACTCGTCCACACAAAAAGGGTATAAGTGTTATAATCCACAACTTAAGAGACTAATTGTTTCAAAGGATGTTCAATTTCATGAAACTAACTCTTATTACAGTAAGTCTCTGGATAGTACAAGTCAGGGGGAGATTATCTTGGACATGTTTCCACTGCCAAGGACTGAGATACTCAACAATGCGGGTGATCAAACTCACACAATGGATCTTGTGGCTCCAAATCAACCGGATTCATATGACGACAGCAACATGCCTGTAGAAGATGAAACTCTACGTAGTATTGGTCCTGAAGAACCTTCAGAAGAGTCTCTTCCTACCATACCTCGACGAAATCCAACTCGTGAGAGGCACCCACCAGCAAGACTGCAAGACTTTGTTACGTACAAGCTCAAGCACCCCTTATCCAACTACTGTTCTTATCAAAAGTTGTCACATAATTACACTGCCTATTTGAGTAATATATCTGCGCATGAAGAGCCTCAATCATTTCAAGAAGCTAACCAATCCCAAGTGTGGCAGCAAGCAATGCAGGATGAACTGCATGCACTCGATCAACATAAAACCTGGAGCATTGTGCCACTGCCCAAAGGAAAGAAGATAGTAGGCTGCAGGTGGATATACAAGATTAAATTCAACTCGGATGGGTCTATTGAAAGACACAAGGCACGATTAGTGGCCCGTGGCTTCACTCAAACATTTGATGTGGATTACAAGGAAACCTTTGCCCCCGTTGCAAAGATGAACACAGTGCGCGTACTCTTGTCTGTGGCTGTCAACAAAGGATGGCCTATGTATCAAATGGATGTAAAAAACGCCTTCTTACATGGTGAGCTTGAAGAAGACGTCTACATGAGATTACCACCGGGTCACTCTCAAAGTCATAAACAGGATGTTGTGTGTAAACTGCACAAATCAATTTATGGTCTTAAACAATCACCGAGAGCCTGGTATGCTAAGCTCAGTTCAGTCCTTATCAGTGTTGGTTTTGGAAGAAGCAATGCGGACTCCTCTTTATTTGTACGCTCAGGCACCGCTGGTACATTGGTTGTTCTTGTGTATGTTGATGACTTGATCATCACCGGAGATAACCCTGAAGAAATCAAAGAACTCAAGCACTCCCTTCAGCAACGCTTTGCAATAAAAGATCTTGGTGTTCTGAGATACTTCCTTGGCATCGAAATGGCTACATCTCACAAGGGCTTCTTCCTTAACCAGCGCAAATATGTTCTGGATCTCCTTAAGGAAGCAAACATGAGTGATGCTAAACCGGTCCCTACACCTCTTGACATTAAACTTAAGGTCAGCTTAGAGGGTCAATCTCTTCCAAACATAAGTTATTATCAGCGGTTGGTTGGTAAGTTGATATACCTGACCATCACAAGGCCCGACATTACCTATGCTGTCAGTATTGTTAGCCAATTTATGCACTCTCCCACGATGGAGCACTTTAACCTAGTCAAAAGGATACTTCGGTATCTAAAAGGTTCTGTGGGACGTGGTATAATCATGAAGAAAAATGCAAGCACTCAGATTACAGGTTATTGTGATGCAGATTGGGCTGGCAATTCCATTGATCGTAAGTCTACAACAGGATTTTGCACGTTTGTGGGAGGCAACCTTGTCTCATGGAAAAGCAAAAAACAAACTGTCGTTGCAAGATCCAGTGCTGAGGCAGAATATCGGGCAATGGCATCTACTGCGTGTGAACTAATCTGGCTCAAAGGTTTACTGTGTGACTTAGGTGTTTTCAATCATCAATCCATGTCCCTTTTCTGTGACAATCAGGCTGCAATGCACATTGCTTCCAACCCAGTTTTTCATGAGAGAACCAAGCACATTGAAGTCGATTGTCACTATGTTCGTACACAAGTTCAATCTCAGGTTATCCAAACGCATTTTGTAAGGAGCTCGGATCAACTTGCGGACCTATTCACAAAATCATTGGCCTCTCATCAGTTTCAGCTTCTTCTTGGCAAGCTTGGATCTATCAACCTTTTGGATCCAGCTTGAGGGGGAGTATTGGATGTGTCATTATTAAAAGTAGATAATAGATTAAGATTAGTGGGATTGGAGATCATTATGTTGGAGGTCATCATTATGTTGAAGGTCATCATTATGTTGCTTTCGGTTCTCCCATATATGTTGCATCTGTAATGGTATTGGATGTGTCATTATTAAAAGTAGATAATAGATTAAGATTAGTGGGATTGGAGATCATTATGTTGGAGGTCATCATTATGTTGCATTCGGTTCTCCCATATATGTTGCATCTGTAATGGTTTCAGATATGAAATATACATAAAACATTCAATAATTCATCGCCTACTTCGCAAGAAGATACGGAAAATTTTCGGCTAACTTTAGACTGTATACACATTTGATGTAATTTTCCAAGCTTTCAAAATGAAATAAGCTAACTTTTCTGCTCTTCGGGTTGGGATAAGCGAGATTGTAAACATCCGGTAAAAAAAAATTCCAATAACCTGACTGTCTTATGCAGGCCATATCAAGCTTGGAGACTGCCATTGTTGAATCTCCATTGGGGTTAAATCCTAAGGTGGACGGGGACCGACTGATTGCAGCTATTCCTCCATAAGCAGGCATCTGATTGTCACTCATGCTGTCACGAATTTTTGGTTTTCATAATTTTTCAGTTTCTTAGTTCTTAATAACAATAATAACTCGAAAATATTCGCCAAGCTAACTTGGACTTAGCCATGTGTTTGATTACTTGACTAATTTTATCTTTTCTAATTTTTGTGATGGCCAGATTGACGAAAGAGCATATTCAGGTGACTTACAACTGCTTTTCCCGTTGTTGTTTTTGTCGTGCTTGATAATTACCATTTCTTATCAGTGAACATATCCTACCAGGCTTTCTGTAAAGTGGTTACCAAGTCCTCTGAAGATGGCAAGCAGAGTATTCGAAGAGCTCGCCAAAAGGTGACAGAAGTAAAATTTTTTTTTGTAATATATGCATATTTGATTGCGATTTAGGCGACTGCGAGATTGCGCCTTGTTATTTTGATAATCACCAACCATTAAGTCGGAGAAGTTTAGACAGCGTAGTTCTGGAAATGTACTATATATTTAGTCCTAAAAAAGGGCCAGGTCATTGATTCTCCTAAATCATTGCACGATATCCATCTAACAGATTAACTAGACGATCTTCTGCACATTTACCATCACATGCTTCAATTGCAAGTTTATACATGTTAATAACGCAAAATACTATGTAGTAAGATATGATCCTTCGTTGCGATGAGCAATTCTACCAGTACTATTGGACAATTAGTAATATCTCTAGTTTCCTGGTCTGGTGATCTCAGGAAGAAATTTATCATTAGTAGTACTGAAGACCAAAACAGTGAGGTATGTAGAACGATCACTCGTGCTTGGTATGTGAATGCGGATTCTAAAGTTTGGCCGCTTTGCAGCACAACTAAATAGGTTCTTGGTTTCTTTTACAGGCAATGGATACGAAAACTACCCCAAAGACGAATTAAAAAGATGGGAGAAAGAGGTGAGTTTAACTTAAGAACACACTGTTCCCAAATTGATATGGGGTTTGGCTACAATACACCGGAGTATGGCATACTCCGGCACCTAGGGCCGTTATCTCCAATTAAGTTCAATTCAAAATTGGATCCAACGGTTATTGCAGAAAAATTAATTGATATGATGCAAGTTTTTGTTTTGCTCGTTGGTTTTTCGGAATGGCTACATTTTCCAGGTTGATGAGTTGACTAAAAAGTTTGTCAAGACAGCAGTGGACTTATGCAAGGCAAAGGAGAAGGAGATCAGTTCAGGCTAACAGGTGGTGTTTTCAGTGTATTTTTGAATCTGTTTGGCGCTCGATCCCACTCCCTTCCGAAAGAGCTCTACCCGAGTTCGTTTAAATGGTTACAAAGATTTAGCTTCGATTCAAACCAGTTAATGCCCCGCTTGGTAATCATTTGGTTTCCGTTTTAATTTTTGGTTTTCGCTGTCCCTTATGACGAGAACATACAACTGTGGGATCAAAACCTTTACAATGAAAAGAAATTGACTCTACTAAATACTTCAAGACGAAGTATTCCTGGAAACCTCTCTATACACCATCCTACTTCACCGGTCACTACCGTTCATGAGCCCCTCTGTTTACCGAAAAGAGCCTCCTTGGTCACGAGCTTTATACCTCTCACCCAAAGCTTGGCGGTTTCAACTCCGCCTTCACACACAAAATGCACCTCCTTGTTCTTGGTAGTCACCACCCTAAACACTCCGGGTTCATCTGCATCACTCTGGCTCCTCCTATTCCTCTTAAAGGCTGGACTAGGCCCAACCTCCGCCTCCCGGCATTTCACATTTCTCCGGTCCGACTTCCCCCAGCACAGCACCCCTACAGCTCCCATCATCCTCACCTCTTTCCCATGAGGGCTTCCTTTCCCTCCCTTTGTATGCTTCCTGACACGCGCCCCACCTAGCACCAGCTTGCGAGCTAGCTCATCTAGTATCACCGGCTCCGCATCATTTTCCAAACCGCCGCTTTTCCTCGCAAGCGAAAGCGGTGTTTCGCCTTTGGCATTCTTGACATCCAAGTTTGCTCCGTGAGAGATCAAGAGTTCACACACGAGACCATAACCTTCCCTAGCCGCTAACATGAGCGGAGTGTTACCATCTCCGTCAGGGACATTCACATCATATCCCCTACTTGTTAACAATTTGACTGCATTGACATCCCCACGGCGTGCTGCACAGTGCAGAGCGTAGAACCCTCCAGCGTAACGATTGCCCTTTTCCAGTGCATATTCGAGCATTACCTTCTCAAACAGGTCACGGTTTTGGTTTATTTCTGACAGAGTAATTGCAGTCTCACCAGACTTGTTACACAATTTTACATCAGCCCCTGCATAAACCAAAAACCTGAATGCTTCAACGTGTCCCTTCAAAGCAGTGATCATAACGGCTGTGAAACCTTTACCGTCTTGATAATCAATGTCAAATTCTCCTGAAACAACTACGGCTTTCAAGGCCTCAATATCGCCGGCTTGAGCTGCAAACATTAGGGGAGAGAAAACAGAAAAGCTGCTGGATTTGGGCATCTTTCCGTCTCTTATTACATACATCAACGCCTGCTGAAAACCAAGGGACCACCCAGCTATTCTGGCAATCGAACTAACAGACTGACCAGCCGCGTTAGCCAAGCCAAAATCAGCACCAGCTGCCGCCAATTCTCTGAGACATTCTTCATGCTTGTATTTTGCGCAGATCATTAGAGCTGTCTCGCCGGAATCCGTCTTGGAGTTCACATCACATCCTGATTCAATTAAACATCGAACGACTGTTGGCAAGCCAAGGCGGGCAGCCATGTGTATCGGATTAAACATGGTACTACCAGTTGTTTTAACGGGTGATTCTACATTGGCACCGCAACTTAAGAGCGAACGGACAGCTCCTGCATTACCGCATAGAATAGCGTGGTGCAGGAGAGTTCTTCCACAATGAGGGGTATCCGGAGAACGGCCTTGGAGGAGCATGTGCAAGACAGAACCGCTTGCTTCAAAATACTCCACTGCACACCAGGTAATGGGATATGGCTCCGCCAGCCCTGCCCCGACCCGCAACTCTTCCCCCGTAGCCGGGTCCCATGACCATGCTCCTAATCTCACATTGACATCTATCTTCACGCCGGCCTAATTTTCCAGTTTTGGAACAAAGAACAAGCGAGGGTTGTTAGTCATGTGGAGTGAAAAGAAGAAGGATACAAGGACAGTAGTAATTTAGAAGATGAAACAGTAACAGTACTATTGTCTTGTCAGGAAGATAGAATCAGAATCGTTTTCTGTTTAGATCTTGCTGCAATCACAGAACCGTGTACCACTCTATCCCTATTGAAAGGTACCAATCCAGCTGTCCAGGTTGATGCACCTCCTTAGAGGGGGCCTACGACAATCAAGTCTTATCTCACTAAGTGGGGTTGATCTTGTCGAACCCTGGACCTGGTTGGAATGTAAGGTTCACAAAACCACCAGGACACAAAGGACGGGTAAAAAAAGCGGAATTTCATTTAGGATTCATATAAGAGGGATTGGAAGTGAAAAACAAAGTGCCAACTACCTGACACACTCCCCCTCCTCTTTTATCCAAGATTTGGACCGGCAGCGGAAGATTAACTTACACTAGCCGAGTTTGAAAATTACTTCTCTACTATTGCTAAATTATGGCTTTCGGGATCGTATCTGATCAATCTAATGATACATTTTTAGGCTTAAGAATGAAGGGAAACTGACAGTAAAACAACCTGGCCGGCTCACCCTTAGTAAGTGATATGGGAATCACCTGTAGCAGCAAACGTACGATGGGGACCTGCCTACTCACAACTGCAGCCACAAGTGCACTACAGTCAACATTAGTGTGAAGAGCTGGCTTAGACGATTGAAGTAGCATCCTATCAGCCGCACTTGCATCCACACCGCACTGCAATTGAGCAAGACGGACAATGTTATTGTGCTTATAAAATCTGGTAAAGTATCGTAATAGTAATTAATTCATGAGAGTGTCAGCTGTATAAACCCTAGAACATCATTACACTCGGTTAAGCGCCAAGTTTTCCGAATTTACCTATATGCTATCTGCTGTGGGATTCAGAAAGTTGCCTGTTGAACAGCTCTTATGGGAAAATGAATACGATGCTTCTACCTTCATGAGAGTGTCCACCACATCAGCAAACCCCCTGCAGCTGGCTGTGACAATGGCATGCACGGCAACATGGGGCCGGATAAAATCAGAGGCCATAAGCCGCTCCACGAGCCTAGCATGTCCATGACAACTTGCCTCCAACAAAGCTTCCTCACAAGCCGGTTGAGATGCTCCAGCTTTCAGTAGGATCTCTAGAATCTCAAGGTGGCCCTCTCTCACTGCTGCCGTTGTCGCGAAGCCCCTATAGAGTTTCTGATTTACGTCAGCTCCGATGCTCTGTGATTCAAGAAACCGCCAATCCTTAGTACGTTACATAGCCAGAAACAGTAGCAATTCCGCAGGCAGACATAATACCATTCAATCTATCACATTCTTAGTTTTGTAAACACATGAAAAATGCTTTGCAGAGAATGTGATTAAGCGGAAAACGCTTCAATCTCCTTCAATGGAGTACTAATACAACTTCAAAATCAGTTCAAATTCTACAATCCAAACAAAAAAAAAAAAAAAAGAAGCTTCAAATCAAACGATATAATCGTAAAAAATGCATAAATAGTTCAAAATAATTCAAATTAAACAGAAAAAGCTTTCAAATTCGGTGAGAAATCAACAATGTGAAATAAAAAAACATTCAAATCTCGACTTCAAGCACAGTGATCTGGCAACACACAGTCTAAAACCAAAGCTTCAATCACACATTACCAGCAGTTTCTTCACCAAGGCGACGTTTCCAGCATGAACGGCGAGGAACAGAGCCGTGACGTCGGTTTTGAACTCCTCGTAGTCGACGCGGACTTTGCTCGCAGACTCGTCGCGCAACAACACCTCACACTTTCTCGTTTTGAGACTCACAGCGCCGACGAAGTTGACGTCCACGAAAGGATCGGCGACGCACTCCAACGCCGATTTCAGGTCGCCGGAGAGCGAGGCTTCGAGAAGTCGCTGCGAAACCTCGGCCTCGTAGTCCACCGGGACCACCTGTTTGCCGGAGAACACCGTCATTTTCCGGTGAACACGTAGCGGAATTTGAGCTTGGAGAGTGGCGGTCTTCTTTTCTGGTGCTGCGAACTCGAGTGAGAGATAAAGAAGAGAAAACTTCAAGTGAGCGCTAGAGGGAAAGGGGAGAGGTTGCAAATTTATCGGGAACGTTTTACTTTAAATTTTGATTTAACCACGGTTAGGAAAGACGTGGGTTAAATTATTTAACTCAAAGGTGGTGGGGTCCGAAGGCTTCTATGGGAGAGATTCTTCATTGTGCCGAAATCATGTCCATGCATATCAAGTGTCATAATACAAGTGGTTGACAATTTATTTTTCAAATATCCAACAATTTGTATTATGACATTTGGTGTAACAAATTGTCTCCCACTACAATACTGTGAATAGGTCAATTTGTTTAGACTTGAATTGGAGAAGGATTTTTATGGCACGCTCATAAAGTCACATTGGTGATTTATGTCAATAAAAATAACAATGTATGTCTCCTTTTACACGGTATTTTTTTGTTAGTTTTAAGTATGAGAACGTATCCGTTTTATATAAGTTACTCTTCTTTGAGTTCTGTTAGTGTCACTAGAAAAAAAAACTTCATACGTATGCCCTAACTAAGTTATTTGTAGGCCGTATCTCACAATTGTATTAACTCTTTGTATTTTGGTTCTGTTCAACTTGATTCCACTAATAGCTTGTTTACTTACCATGATTGAGAATACAATGTAGGAGTGTCATTGTTATTTCTCACATATATAAGTGAATCTCACATTAAAAATATGCATTTAATTCTCAATATTTTCAACCATGCAACGTTATCAGAAGGAGTATATTTATGTTATTCATGAGATATTTTGTGTCATTTTCATATCACTTTTTATGCATTAAAATATAAGTAACGTTCACTACATTGAGTAAGCAGATCTAGTCAAACAGCCTTATCGAAGATTTACTCATGTCACCACGCCAGTAGACTAGTGACTTGACTAACTAACTCCTGAGTTGGCTTGAATCACGGACAATTTTCATCAAACACCTTCTATTTAGTTTTTTTAATTTTTTTAGTTACATTAGAGCAAACTGAACCGTAACATATTCTAATCTTTACCCGCTTACAACATCTTCCCGCACCATTTCTTTTCTTTAGAGATGC